GATCCGCACAGGTTGTTGGTCGGCTTGGTGCGGATCTTCTTGTAGCGGCCGGTGGCATACCTCCATCCGCATTGCGTGGTCCACATAGCTGAGTTGATGCAGTCCTCGTCAGTTGCTGGCAGATGTGCCTTGTTGGAGTCGGTGTTGACGACCCAAAAGGTGTTATGCAACACGGCAATGTGCCGTTTGACCACGTCCGCGATTTGGTGTTGGAGTTCCTTCTGGGAATGCGCCACTGGTGGTCGATCGAGGTTGGACTCCTGGATGTAGCGGGCCACTGCTTCGGATCCCCATCGGCCGACGAGTTGTACGGTCTCCTTGTTGTAGCCCAGTCGCGTCAGGAACTGGGCGCCCGACACTCGGCATACGTGTTCATGGAACCGCTGTCGCAAGGTGCCGCTGGGATCGGTCCGGGTAAGGATAGTTCCGGTGAGTCCGATGACCTTGCGGAAGAGCTCGATGACGTCTGCCTTGGGGATGGCTTGTCCGTCTGGTCCGGGGAACAGTGGGTAGTCGCCCGGTGGAGTGCGTCCCAGGTGTCGATGTAGTCGTCGCATGTGACGTTGTGCTGCATGATGTGGGCACAGTCGGGACAGTGCTGGACAGGTGCACGGATGAGATCTGGTCACGCACATTCCAGTTATGTCGTTCTTCTGGATGGGGAGCGTGAGGTATGTGCGCTTACCCAGCGCTGTCTGTTGGGTCCACAGATGATGTACCTGTGCTGAGGCGACTTCGAGTCCCCGAAGTAGCCACCAGCAGCCGATGATGATGACGTCGCGGGCGTAGGCGATGGAGTCGAGGCCGTCGTCCTGGTCCACGGGGAACTGATCGGCCGACAGGAGCTCGAGTTGGAAGGAGTCCTTAAACGGTGTGGGTCCTTGTGCCCGTCGGATCGATCGGCTGACGTCGGTGATGGCCTGCTCGATGTCGGCTGCGGGGTCTTCGCCCGTAAGTCGTCGGTGTTCCTGTCGAGCCTGCGTGTAGTAGTTCTGGAAGGAGCGGTATCCGCCGGCTTTGAAGGATGCCCCCGCCGCCTTGACGAGTTTCACGGTGAGTGGGGCAGGTGGCATGTCCCAGGAATTCGCAATCTGGCACCAAGTCTTCCAGCGTGCTAATCTGGGGTCTCGGCTGGAGGGTGCGTACGTCTCGTCTTCTAGGAGTTGTAGGGCCTGCTCGCGTGAGGTAGGCGCTCCCGCCGCAATGGCTCTGTTGAGGGAGCCGTGTCGTGTGGTGTGATATGGTTGGATGTCGCGCCGGACCGGGGGCATGTAGTCAAGGACCAGTTGGTCGTCGCCCAGGAGTCGATTGATCAGGTCGTGTGGCACGCCGATCCGCACCAATGCAGCCCGGTCCATGTTGCGGAATGTCGCCAAGTCGTCTATTCCGGCTAGGGCAACGAGCGGGGCGATCGCCAGCAAGGACCGCTGGTGTAGCCATGCTCGAATGTCACGGAACGTCATCTCGGGGTGATCTGTATCAAGGGCCGAGAGGGGCCAAAAATGGCTATGTAAAAATGTATCAAAGGTTTGCCACACGTGGAGACAAAAGCACAATGCAAACAATCAAGGTGAGCGAAAGTTCGGGGGGATTTAGGGGTGTTTGGCTTCAAACACATGGTGCGCCTTTTGCTCTTTGCACGGGTGTCCTGACGTACTGCCAAACGAGGTTGCACTTCGGCGGCAGGTTCAGGAAGATGGGTCGTGCGAAGGCAACCGCGTTGGTCGGACCCTCCGGGCTCGCGCGGGACACGGACGCCCTTCGGGTCGTAGTGGTTGCGGTGCTGGTCGAGGTCCGTCACAGGGCGCTCAAGTGGTTGAGACGGTCCGCCCCCTCGAGGTCTTGGCAGGTCCAGAGCTTGAGGCGGCAAAAGCACAGCCCCATCACTCTGGCGAGGTCCGAGGACTCAAGGATGCGGGTGGAACTGGGGTCGTAGCGATAGCGCCGCATGTCGTAAAAGGGCGTGGCGGGTTGGTGGCGTTGTCGCTTCTGGCTGGGGAGCAGGTCGACTCGGAGTGGCTTGATGCGTCCCAGGTTGCGCTGGGCGACTTGCTCCAGCTTCTCTTGGGTCCAGAAGGTCCTGTGCATGTATGGCAGTTTCTGAGCCGTCTGCATGTTGTTCATGATCATGTCGGCCAGATAGGCGCGGGGGTCCTTGGCTTGTCGCAGGTCGGATGCGATCTCGTTGATGTGGACCTTCATCTGTTGGATGAGCTTGCCGGTCGTGTCCTCCTCCCAGCGAAGAAGGTAGAGCATGTAGCGCCGGTCGTCGTCGCCGGTGATGGCCTCTGCCAATTGGTCTGTCTCGTGTGCTCCAGCGGTGGCGCGTACCACGAGGCACTTCTGGGCCGGCACGAAGCGTTCTGTGTCGTCTTGGCCGGCTGCGGTCAGGGCCTCCCCTCGGGATGCGGCTTTGGCGTCACTGTAGGTTTTCCAGGGGTGGTATTGCTGGAGGCACTCGGGACAGAAGAACTGGCCGTGCTCGGGGATGTTGGCGGTGGCGCGCAGCCAATGTGACGAATGTACCACCGCTTTGCACGACTGACGTCGGCAGATAAAGTGCTCGTCGGTGGACGGGAGGACGCGGGTGATGAAATCGGTGAGGTGTGTGGGATAGTCGTCAGAGTCCAAGAACTCAAGGAGGGTCCCGGTGCTGTTTGCGCGCAATGCCTCGGTGAGGTGCTGCCTCTCCCATTTGTGGAACATGAGGAATAGGTCTCGTCGGTCCTCGGGTGCCAGGTTGATGAGGTCGAGGCACATGGTTTCGGCGAGGAACTTGGAGTGGTCGCTGATGAGGCGGCGAAGGTGGTTGTTGGAGGTTCCGGGGTGGATCTCGCGCAAGGAGTCCATCATGTCCGTGTGGGTGTTCGTGCGGATGGTGCCGACGGCCTTGTTGGTCATGTAGTCCAAGCGGCGTCGCCATGCTCGTCGGCACAGCTTGCTGAACACCTCGAGGGTGAATGGCCGGCGGTTCTTCACGTCGAGGGCTGGTACCCTGATCCAGCGGCGGTTGACCTGGTCCCACCTGTGCACGGTGATGTATGCGTCGTGAGCGTCGTCCGTCTCTGGCACCGCAATCTGTAAGGTCGGTGGGGCGATGGTATGGTCGCTGATCATGGCCGCGAGGTCGGGGTGCTCTGCGATGGTGTTGTACGGTGCGTGTTCTGCACTCAGGGAGTTCGGGTCGGCCAGGAGCTCCTCGAACTGGAACCACGGCACGCTACTGGTGTCGCAGGTAGCGCACCCGTAGCACGCCCCGACCCACTTGTTTCGCCAGTCGGTTTCCTCTGAGAAGCAGAGGGGCATGATGTACTGGGATTGGTATGGGATCTGGCAGAACGAGCACTGCAGTGTGGCTGGTGTTGGATTCAGGTTGTGCCAGTCCAGCAGCAGGTAGCGTGTCCGCGTGTCCGGCTCGGTGTTGGTCGACTCCATGAAGAGGTCGATCGCGTCCGTGGTGGAGAGGCGGGGATTCTCGGTGCGGAAGGTCTGGAACCTCGAGAGGACGCCGGTGTTGTAGGACCGCAGGAGGAGCTCGCAGACTGCGTCGGTCTCGCGAAGTGCCATGTTGTGCGAAGGGGGTGCGATATCGGATACACAAAAACCAGCCTGAAAATTCCTTCGGAATTGGAGGTGGCGCTTGCCGAACTCACGCAGGAGTCGGTAGTGTGCCGGGTGTGAGTCAAGGGGGGGGGGGGTTGGTCGGGCCAGGGGGGTGTGTCTCGGTGACTCGGGTCCAATGGATGGCCCGTTGATGGGGGGGATCTGTACGACGCGCCACACCGGCACAAACGTCGTGTTATACGACGCGCCACACCGGCACAAACGTCGTGTTAGATGACACGCCACACCGGCACAAATGTCATCCCGAGGGGTGGAGCTGTCCCGTAGGACCAACTCCCTGCGGTGTGAAGGTGACCGGGGTCGGCCAGTTTGTCATCAGGGATCCGACCCGAAGAAACCGAGGGTAATCCACAGGGGATCCGAAGTGGGGTGAAAGACCGGTCGGGTTCGGGGCAGGCGAGTGGGGATTGGTCACCGCAGAATGGGCCTCAGCAGTGGGTCGGTTTGTCAAGGGGTATCCTCTCGAATCAAACAGGGGGGACGAAGAGGGTCGACCCGGGCTCGAGGCACTCAGCGCTTTTGCGCGGTCCGAAGATGGATCTCTCTTCGGGACAAGGGGGCCTCAGGCGGTCGCCTAGGCATGGGTGTCACCTGTGCGGTATGAGGGTCATCGCCCTATTGCTGGCCCACCATCGCACGGGACATGGACTTGGTGGGTCAACTGAGGGTGGCGGGTTTGGAGACTCCTCGGTGCCGCCTGGTCAGTAGCGGGAGTCCTGGCTCTGCTCAGTCTTAGAGCTCCCGGTTGAAGCGCAGGTGTCCGTCGGGGCCGAGCAGGATGCCCTCGATGGTCGCCATGGTGCGTTGTTCGGGGGTCAGGAAATTGGAAATTGTCTCAGTGATGGTCTCCCCGAAGGTGATTGCCATGTTGTCCACAAAAGGGTCTCGCCTGGAGGCGCGACAGAGCTGCCTCCCGAAGGTAAGCCAGGAACAGGTCAGTTGTTGTAGCATGTGCTGCCGGTTGGCGCTGTTGAGCAGCTGGAGTTGTTGGTGAACGTGTTGCTGGATAATCCAGCGCAGCAGGCTCCTGAGAGGTGTGACCTGCGTAGTTGGTTCCACGGGTACAAGAAAAAGGCCCCCGAAGTCGTTGCCGTACACATTGGTGGGGGTGCGCGAGAAGATGCCGTAGTTGGTCAGGTGCCATTGCAAGCCGATGTGGTCGAGGTCGGAGGGGAATTCCGGTAGCAGTTCCGGATTGATCAGGAAGGTGGCATCTTCGTGTACCCGCGCGCGGATGTGTCCGGCCCGCTGGGTTGACAGCAGGCCTTGTGTGCTGTCGTCACGGTCGATGCCTGGCGGCTGGAGCCACTGGACTAAGTCGTGATGTTGGTTGGATGGTGGGGGGGGTGCCGCCTTGGATGGTGTGGTGGGTTGCGGGCGTGGTGAAGGCATGTGGTGCGGGACGGGCCCGGTCGATGTGGTGGTCGCCTCCGGGAATCGGGCCTGTCTGGGAGTGTCGCGAGCCGTGGGTGTCGCGAAGTTGACGGTCCGCGGTGGTGTCATAGCCCGGGAGTATCCCGGTTGTGTGGAGCGGCCTCGCTGCTGTCGGGGGGTGTTGTTCCGTTGGCGAGACGGGTTCAATGTGCTTGGCGGGCCACGTGGTACCGCGTATGGCATCTGGTAGGTGCACGGATCGGGGTACCGAACGTTCATGTGGTGAACGGGCGTGTTCCACTCGCCGTGAAGGTGGTCGCGGAGGATTTCAAAGGCCTCCCGCCTGGACACGAAGCGCCATTCACGGTGGGCTGTGTCATAGTGGATGCCCACGCCGGTGTTGGGTCTGGCATGGTGCACGAAGCGCAGCCAGGCAAGAAGGTCACCATGCAGGACTGAGTCGCTGTGAACATGGCGGCATTCGGCACCACTGTCGCAAAAGCCTTCTGGATGCCGGGCCTGTTGTCGAAGATGTCGGTAACAGATGTTGTCTCGTGGCATCCAACGCGCATCAACGAACTCCGGATGCAAAAAGGCGCACTGGTGGGCAGAGGCAGGTGCACGTCCCCTGCAGCCGGAATGGTTGATGAACTGGTTGCAGACCTGATTGCCCTGCAAGATGTTGCCCGGACCGACCGCCTCGGGCAGGATCGAAAGATGGTCCTGAAGGGCCCGGTACAGTCGTTCATAATCCGGGTCGAGCTCGGTCATTTCCATGAGCTGGTACTCCTCCACGATGGATGCGAAATTCGCTGGAGCAGTCATGGCGGTCGAGCAGGCAGGGCAGGCAGGCAGGGCAGGGCAGGGCAGGGCAGGCAGGGCAAGAAAAATTTGGCTAATTCGCCAAAATGGCGAACGGAGCATGAATCAAGCAGTGTCATCCTGCAGGCACTCAAGGTTCGAATCTGAGTGTGATTCAAATGCCTTCCGCTATCGGTTGTTACTTTTAACACAAGTGTTAACCGCAACAAGTTGAACGCCACAGGTCGGGGTAATTGGGCTGAGACAACCCAAACACCTAGTGCCCATGATTGTTTCTTTTTTTATAATGGAGGCATCAAAAGGTCCTTTACATGGGTCGAATTTGACTTTCCCCACATGGAAAAAAGTTACCTATGGTCATTTGGGGCCTTGTCGGGAATATTGATCAACCCCTATTCTTGCAAGTTTTTGCTTACCCCAACTGTGGATGGTGGCGGAATCCAGAAATCGCACCACCCGCCTTTCGGAAGCCCTGGTTTCATGATGAATCCCTGACGTAAATACCAAAGAAACCTTCTGGTTTCTTCCATTGCTCAACCCAAAGGCTGCTGGGGTGTTCAATCCTGGAAGTGTTTCGGACCCGGTCTCAAAACCTCTCTGTTTGAGGGCGCTAAATACATCGGGAGCCTGCGAACGGCGTTCGTCCAACAGCTCCGGCCGTGAGCAAACCAGCCAGCCCTCGCTTGGCCTCTGGCTGCGCCTGCCTCGGCCGACTCCAGGCGCGCCGCCTGCGCGGCCTGCGTCGGAATGCGGCGAAGGTTTGGGGGTTGGAGATGGTTTTCGTGGGGCTGGAGGGGGGAAGGGAGCCCCAATAAGCCCCAAATAAGGCCTTAATAAGGGCCTCCCCTTCCCTTCCCCTCTTCAGCCGCCATGAGGTTTCCCAGTCGGGTGTCGCCTTTTGATTTTCCCTTCATTTGGTCCATTGTCAAGGTTCCAAAAGGTGATCACCTTTCATTTCAAGGTCATTTGGGCAAGTGAGATTTAGGCGGGTCTTGTTTGCGAGTTGGTAGCTCTCTTTTGGTGGTTTTAAAAGTAAACCGAAAGGACCGCCACTCATTTGGCGGGGCCCCTTAAAAAAAGGACAGACCCGGTTAACTGTTTTGCTAGTGAAAGCAATGAAGGAAACTCAAAAAGGGAAAAGGGCGAAAGAAGCGAGGAAAGTCAAGTGTGGCAACGAAAGACAAATGGTGCGTGCCTCTAGGGGGTGATCTGTTCAATCGTTCTTTTGGAAAGAAGAAACCCCCGGAAAGAATGGGAAGTTACTCAAACATGGGGTTGTGGGTTACTATGAAGTCAAATTATCTCATGCTGATGAGGAGAGATAAAGTTTGAATCCTATGAAGAAGGTGATGTTGTCTTTGTCAGCTTTAACCGCCCAAAAGGCGACACAGAATTATGTGGTTACCGGAAGAGAAGCAAACAAACAAACAAACAAACAAACAAACAAACAAACAAACAAACAAACATGTTCAGCCAACGACTTAAAGCGTAAGGCTCCAGGCCAATCTAAATGGGTGTCTTTTGTGTCTTTTTTGGGGGGGCCGGGCCGTCCGAAAAATTGCGGTTTTCCGGGTTGGTCTCCCTTTTAAACCCAACCAAAAAAACGACCCTGCAAAAAAAAAACAGCAACGAGCGAGCCACCCTTAAACGGACGTTCGCCTCCTGGCGCGCGTGGCGCCGCTGCTCCGAGTCCGCGCTCGCCTCGATGGCAGCCAACGCTTGCGACTGGTGCTCAGGTGCTCAACTTGGAGTCCTTCCGCTCGAGAAATGGGGTGGCGTTCCAAAAAACTGGTGGTTTCCTAAGTCCTAAGCCATCCAAAACCTGCGATCGGTTCCAGAGGCAAAAAGTGAGAAATGGAATGAGCCCGAATTATGAACCATCCATGGTTTCCTTTAAGGGAATCCCCAAAACCGGTTCATTCCCACACCCGGAAGGGTCATTCCCTACCTATTGCACCAGCAAGTTTCCCCCTTCACAAACAAAAAGCGCGACCAAAACGGGGGGGGGGTAGCCCCGCGAGTGTTGAGCCCCCCTTGAAAAACAAAAAAACACGACCAACACGGGGGGCACCGAGTCCTTGGAGCAACGCAACGGTGGGAGCGGAAACCGCCTCGGAGCTCCGCAAACCCCCCGCCTTCTGAGCCTCCACCTCTGCCCGCAGCCCTTGGAAGGCCGCCGCCTCGCTTTCTTTCTCTCGCCGCGGCGCGGTGAAGCTCTCCGTTCTGCTTGGGTGCGCCGTTCTCTCTTTTGTTTTTTTTTGTTGGGGGGGGAGCAGGAGAGGCATTTTTTTTCTCATCCAAAAGGCTCCTGGGGCTTTCAGTGGAAGACCGGAGGACTGTGGTCGTGCACGTTTTGTTTGCTTTTGAGGCTTGATCTCTTGCAGAAGTTGTGCGCATGGTTCTTGATAAGTGTTTGCCTCTCTGAATGGAAATGGGAAGAGTGCAAGTCTTGGCACTGCTCAATTTTAAATTGGCACTGCTAAATGAAGTACTTTGAATGCAAGAGCAAGTCTTTGGCAATACCAAAATTAGATCTGGCAATACTAGATGAAGTGCTGGGAATCTGAGTGCAGCGTAAGGCTTGGCAATTCTCGATTAAGATAATACTAAATAAAATATCAAGCACCGGGATTCTGAGGGGATTCTGAGGGTTAGAATTTAGAATTGACAATACCAAGCTTAGCATTGGAAGACTAAAAGTAAGTCTTCGTAATATTAAATTATCTACTAGGATTCTGAGAGTAAGTTGCAACATGTTAAATCAAGCACTGGCAATGCGAGAAGAAGTCTTGGCAATGCTAAATCTAGAATTGTTCAATATGTACTAAATTCAGCACAGGGAATCTGGGTATGGGTCAAAATTAAACCACCAGCGGACCGCAGGGTTTGGTCCATGCTTCCACTTACCAGGGTTCCATTTTGGGTACATATGTTTGACCCACAGCCACCTGAAAGAAAGGCCTGGCAATGTTCAATTTGCAATTGGAAATGCTAAATTTAGAATTCGCAATACTAAATCAAGCACTGGGAACCCAAGAGTACGTCTTGGCAATATTCAATTTTGAATTTGCAAAAACAAAAAATAAGCAATGGTGGGAATCTGGCAATACCAAATCTAGAATTGTGAATATACACAAAATTCAGCACTGGGAGTCTGAAAGCAAGGCTTTGCATTTTGCAACGTGGAATTGCCAATGCTAAAGTTAGCATTGGGATCGGAGTGCAAGTCTTGGCAGTGCTCAGCTTAGATTTGGCAATAGTATTGCCGAGACTTACTTTCAGAATCCTGGACTTGATATTCTAAGTAGTATTATCCCAGTAGAGCCGGCGAAGCCGGTGGGCGGAAGTTTCAAAAATATAAAAACTATAGTTCTCTTTCTCTTTCTTTTCTTGACTCTGTTTCTCTTCTTCTTTTTGTCCTTCTTGTTGTTCATTGTTTCTTTTCTTTCCGTCTTTCTTTCTTTCTTTCTTTGTTTCTTTCTTTCTATCCTTTCTTTTCACTGTTTCTTTGTTGTTGTTGTTGTTGCTGCTGCTGCTGCTGCTGCTGTTGTGGTTGTGGCGGAGGTGGTTGTAGTCACTTTGCTCAAGCTACAAAAGCTGCAGCAGCGGCATCAACACTCAAGACGGCACCCTATCTGCAACAACGAGCCAACCTCGGTGTACCTCATGTAAACGCAACCTCGATGTACCTCATGTCAACGCTGCCCAAAAGCCAACGCGCACATCGCGGCCTGACCCGGCCTGCGTTTGCCAATAGAAGGCGCAAGCAACCGCCACGCAACCTACAGAAGCATCTCGCTCAAGTTCAGCCAACACCTTGACATGTCGCGCGCCGTATCTGTCTATCCATCTATCTATTGTCTATTTATCTATCTACCTCTTTGTCTATCTACCCATCTCTATCTCTCTCTTTTTACCTATCTATCTATCGACCTACCTCTCTCTCACCTGTCTATCTATCCACCTATCTATGTGTCTATCTATCTCTCTCTCTCGCTCTCTATCTATCTATATCTATCTATCTATCTATCTATCTCTTTATCTCTATCTATCTCTCTCTAACTATCTACTCTCCATCTTATCTGTCTGTCTGTCTATCTATCTATCTACCTGTCTATCTCTCTATCCATCTATCTATCTACCTCTTCATTTATCTATCTCTCTCTCTCTCTCTAACTATCTACTTTCCGTCTAATCTATCAATCTCTCTCTATCTATCTATCTATCTATCTATCTATCTAGCTATCTCTACCTCTCTCTTTCTCTCTTTATCTATCTATCTATCTATCTATCTATCTATCTCTCTATCTATCTATCTATCTCTCTATCTCTCTTTTTATATATCTATCTGTACCAAACTTGCGAAAGTGCTGCGCCTGCCGCGAATTCTGTACTTGACCTTGCGAAAGTGCTGTGCCTGCCACGAATTCTGCACTTGACCTTGCAAAAGTGCTGCACCTGCCACGAATTCTGCACTTGACCTTGTGAAAGTGCTGCGCCTGCCACAAAATCTGTACCTGACCTGTCGAAAGCGCTGCACCTGCCACGAATTCTGTACTTGACCTATCGAAAGTGCTGCGCCTGCCAGGCAAGTCAATGCATGCAAAAACTTGACCTTGCGAAAGTGCTGCGCCTGCCACGAAATCTGCACCCGACCTTGCCAAAATGCTGCGCTTGCCACGCAATTCAAACCCTGCGAAACCTCTGTACTCCCAGCCCGCACCGAGCCCGCTCTGAACATGCTCCGAGACCGCTCCGACCGGACGCCGCGGACTGGCTAGCTTTCGCATCTCCGGAGACGCCAATTCACGCACAGGGCCACGCTTTTTGCCCGGCTTTCTCATCTCCGGAGACGCCGATTCACGCACAGTGCCACGCTTTTTTGCGACTTTCTCTTCCCCTGCCACACGCGCGCGCATTTTTTCTCGCGGGCTTATTCCTTCTCTTGTCATTTGTCTCAGAGAGCTAGCTTTCAATTAGTTGCCGTAACACGGAAGTTCCTTCTAAATTCCTTCGATCCATCGAGACTTGCCAAACCTTACACTGCACTCAGATTCCAAGCGCTTATCCTAGTATTGCCAGATCTAAATTTGGCATTGCCAAGACTTACTCTTGCATTCAAAGGACTTCACTTAGCAGTGCCAATTTTATATTGAGCAGTGCCAACTAAATTGAACATTGCTAACAATTACTCTCAGAATCCCAGTAGTTAATTTAGTATTGCGAAGACTTACTTTTAGTTGGTAAGCTTAGCATTGCCAATCCAAGCTTAGTATTGCCGAGACTTACTCTCAGAATCCCATAATCCAGAACTGCCAAGCCTACACTGCACTCAGATTCCCAATGCTTAATCTAGTATTTCAGATCTAAAGTTGGTATTGCCAAGACGTTCTTTTGCATTCAAAGTACTTCATTTAGCAGTTTCAATTTCGAATTGAGCAGTGCCAAGACTTACACTCAGATTCCCAGTGTTTGATTTAGTATTGCCAATTCTACATTTAGTATTGCCAATTGCAAATTGAACATTGCCAACCCTTACTTTTAGATTCCCTGTACTTTAGTATATACTGAAAGTTCTAGATTTGGTACTGCCAAGATTTCCTCTCAGATTCCCAGTGCTTCATTCCTCTGGCGGACGAGGTATCAATTCCGAGTGGCAGATCCAGGCCGAATCTAACCCATGAGCCCATGGCTAGTTTGGGCTCAAATGTGGCTGGTCCCCTTAAGCCATTGTTTGGATTACATTTACGCCAACAACAAGCCTTGAGAAACCAAAACAACTCGAGGAAAACCAAACAACCAAAAAAAACGAGAAAATCAAAAAAACAGCAAAACATGTTTCCAGAACTCTTTCAACATGGGTTGTGCTCCAAAGAGTTTCTGAACCATGTTTGCTTGGTTTTCTGGAGGTTTTTTTTGTTTTTCCCTAGAGTTGTTTTGGCTTTTTCTTGTTTTCTCGAGATGCTGGCATGGCCGACCCATGAGAAGACTGTAAGCCTCAAAACGCGCAAAAAACGCACTACCAAGGTCCCCTGTTCTGGAAGTGCTTGGGGGTCTCAAAACCTGGCTGTTTGAGGGCCCTAAATACATCGGGAGGCTGTGGGTGGCGGGGTCCAAGCGAAGCAAAAAGACACCCATCTCGAAGAACCAAGAACCTGGGTCAAAACCTGCCCCAAGGGGCTCGTTGGGTCAAAAACCTCAAATCACAAACTTAATGTGCTTCTCCTCGGTTGACTCCCTTGCCAGACTCTTGGCAGGTGCTTTGGCTCCAAACATTTCCCCCTTGAACATCGAGCCAAAACCAGCCCCGCTTCGCAATGGCCGAGGTAAAGAGCACACCCAAACCCCCAATGGCTATGGGGGAAAAAATGGCCGCCTTGTTTCAATAGTTCACCCAAACCCCCAACGGCTATGGGAACAACTGTGATGTTTCTTGGATTTTCCATGAACATCGCCTACATCGACTCATTTTTGGGTTTTTAATGAACATCGTCTCCAAAAACCAACAAATGGGCTTCAGTGAGAGTCTAGCCCCTGGTTTCGTTGGCTTCAGCCGGGAACGGCGCGCCTCGTTGGCCCGGTAGGTGCCCATCTCCTCCGCCAGCTCAGCACGCCTCAGGGGGGGGCGAGGGAGGGGGACAGGCCGGGGAACAGCAGGAGAAATTCTATGCCCAGGCTTTCCTACGTTTTTGAGTTGGAGGTTGGAATAAGGGCACCCTGTTTCTGTAGTCTATTTCAGTAGGGGAACTCTTAAAAAAAAATGTAAAAGGGCACTACTGGGGGACCTAGTTTCATAACAGCTACCCAAAAAGTCAACATGGAGTTTCAGTATTAATGATATAACGACATGGGACCTCCCACGTTCTTGAAGATCCAGTGACTATGTATCAAAAAGAGGAACCACGTTTGTGGCTTTCTTTTTTCAAAAGGTTACCATGATGTCTGCCGCGCGAATCCCAAAGTCTCTCAACCCCTCGCTGAACAACCTGCCCCTCTTTGCCTCTTTGGAAGTAAGCTCACTTGTCCAAAGGTCAGATCAGGTCGATTCGCAGGCAAGGAGGAAGAACTACGTCACATCCTTTAAGGAGCTCCCTCTTTAATATTTGGATACCCTCCCCATCTTCCCATGAGTCTGGGCAGTTTCTTCTAGGTCACCGGCGTGGCCGCCACTTGCCTGGTCGCCTGCCGTTCACAGAAACGGCAAGTGACTAGCTCGGCAGTGGGCCCGTTGTTCTTGAGCGGGCCTGGAAAAATGCTGATCAAAAGGGAAAGACAAGGGGCAACCCACTTTTTTGGGGGTGTCCCCTTATTTGAAGACGTATCCCATGTTTCTGCAGGGACATTCTTTTCGACGAGGCGGGGGCCGAAACTTTAGTGGGAGCCTGCACATTTTCCAGCAGGCTCAGGTGCACTTTCAAGAGCCCCCCCCTAGCCAGAACACTCAAACCCACCACACATGTTTCAACCATGGTGGTCCGAGAATCGGATGTCGCAACCATCCACAGTAGGGGGGCCACCATATGTGCGTGAATTTCTGTTGGGGGTACCCTTTTAATAGGACGCCCAAAAGACACTGTTGCCGACCCTTTGTCTTGAGAAAGTTCAAACCATCACATGTGTGCGCAATGCTGGGTAAAAAACTATGAAACTGCCAAGCAAATCGAAAACAGCCAGCCAGACAGCAACCGAGCAAAAAGTGTCTCGTTTGCGGGGGAGCCAAAACCGGTTTGGGCTTTCTGTTTGGTTCCCCTTTAAAACCAACCCGAACGGGGCACCGTTCAACAAAAAAAACGCCTAAATCTCACTTGCCCAAAATGAACTGGAAATCAAAGGCGGTCACCTTTTGAGAACTGACTAACAAACGGTCACACAAAAGAACGATTCGCTTTGACAAAGTGAGACTCACTACCATTTACAGGCAGGATTGGATACCCTCCCTTCCAACCATTAGACAATCACCAATTTTTTCGGGGTCCCGGCGCGGTCGCAAATTTAGATAGCCCTAGCTCCGGGACGCCCGCCAACCACGACAGAAGATTGGTGGGTGGGAGAGAGAGAGAGAGAGAGAGAGAGAGAGAGAGAGAGAGAGAGAGAGAGAGAGAGAAAGAGAGAAAGAGAGAAAGAGAGAAAGAGAGAAAGAGAGAAAGAGAGAAAGAGAGAAAGAGAGAAAGAGAGAAAGAGAGAAAAAGAGAAAGAGAGAAAGAGAGAAAGAGAGAAAGAGAGAAAGAGAGAAAGAGAGAAAGAGAGAAAGAGAGAGAGCGAGAGAGAAACAGAGAGAGAGAGAGAGAAACAGAGAGAGAGAGAGAGAGAGAGTGAGAAACAGAGAGACAGAGAGACAGAGAGAAAGAGAGAAAGAAAGAGAGAAAGAGAGAAAGAGAGAAAGAGAGAAAGAGAGAAAGAGAGAAAGAGACAGGTTCTGGTGCACCAGGGCCACAAGCTGGGCAGCCGCGCGCAAGATCAGACCCGGGACTGACTCCGCATGCGTCATTGCCAGCCAAACAACTAGAACAAACAAGCCAGAACCGAAGCCGGCGCGTTACCGAAAATCGCCGGGAAAGGAGGCCTGGGCATACAGCCGTGAGCCCGAACCACCCAAGTTGTGAGCCCGCTCCACCCGGGCATCACGCGTAGCACCCTGGCGTGAGCCAGAACCCCCAGTTGAGAGTTCGTGCCACCCAGGCGTGAGCCCGAGCCCAGTTGTGAGCCTGCTCCACCCACCTGCAAAGATGGCGCCTCATGTCCAAAGCCCCTTCTCGCACGCGCTGATACTTGCGTTGTAGTTAATCACCTCTGACTAAACCTTTGCCTGAAGTATTGCCTCATGACCAAAGCCTTCTGCCACCGCAACTGATGTACACGGCTGCAGCTTTTGCCGCAGCCAAAAACAAGGCACAGACACCGAGGGCGAGAAGGGTACTATTTCATCGAGCCACGTATTGATAGAGGCCCGTCTTTCTCTGCCAAGCGGGCTGCGATTCGCGCCGTCTTTTGCACCATGGTGCCCTTTTGCACCAACTTGCTCTTCAAGCGCTCCAAGATCTCCAGATCAGTGGGAAGCTCCATCAAAACAGCAGGGAAGAAGTCTGTAACTGTGCTACCTGAGCCCAAGAGCTTGAGCCAACACGACAACGGGCATTGGTGGTTAGTGATCTCGGCTGCTTTCTGCTCCCCTGCTAAAAGTGACTAACTTCTCGTGGTTTAATACGCAAAACCCCTCTTAGTTGGCAAACAGTTCTCCAGTCCTAACATCCCTTGGAAAAATAAAGAAACTACCAACCCACCGGCAGAGCCAACAAACCCCCTAAACTTCCTAAAGTACAGTCTATCTTGGGAAAGACACGCCTCTTCCAACGGCCCCTTTCCTCGCAGCTGTTGACCCCCGGGCCCCCGGCCGAGGCGTGCTCCGCGCGCACCGCCGCCTCGCAGGCCTTCTGTAGCCTGGGAGCCCAGCGGTTGAGGGTACTCGTTGTTATCTTCTTCTTTGTTTTTTCTTTTTTTTTTTTTTTTTTTTGGGGGGGGGGGCGCGCGGCTGTTGAGGTTTTTTCTTTTTCTTTTTTTTTGTTGGGGGGGGGGGGGGGGTTGGTCAGGAAAAAGCTGCTGAACAGCACCTGGCCACTTTAGTTGAGGAACAGCTAAACACCTACCGAGTTTGCTTGTGTTTGAGGGGGTTTCCAAAAAGAATCCCTTTCGGAAGGCTCACATCGCCATACTAGCCAATGAAATGTCTGAATCACGCCCCCCAACAAGCCAGCAACGTGTGTGTGTGTGTGTGTGTGCGTGTCTTTTTACAACTCCCTGTTTGATGTGATGTGGCTTCACAGGGAAGCGAAAAGCCAAACCAAAAAATAAGGGTAGGGTGACCCGGTGACCCTTTCTCAAGACACACCCACGTCATTTTGTATGCATAACCCTCTTTGTACTTATTCACACGCGCCCCAGCTCCTGTATGCATCTGCCCATGTCTGAAGGCAACATGGCGAACACAGTACAGGACTTACAGCCATGCCCCACTCTGCTCTCCCCACTTTCCCTTTGCTGCTTTTCCTGCTCGTTTGCCGCTTTTCTGCCAACGTTTCTCTTTAGAGCTTTCCTGCCCGCACTTCCTCCCGCCCTACTTCTCCCTGCCCACGCTTCTCCCTGCTTGTTGAGCACCATCTTGCGCGAATGGCATGTGCAGCTTAAACGACGCGCCGGAAATGACGCAGCACGCGCTGACGAAAGTATCCCTATCTCGGGTTGCTGGCAGCTTATCCAAGTCCCAGACCATCCTATTAGAGACAAATGGAAAAGAGCGGGCAGACCACGAGGGAAGAAACGCGGAGGAATAGCAGCAAGCGGACAAACCCATACTTGGGCAAGGGATCATGCAGAACCTCCGAAACTGCAATGAACACAGAAGTGAACGAAAAAGAGTGCGAAGACGAGCCCAGAAGAGCAGGAAGAAGTGGGAGCAGCTTGGAGAGAAAAGCAGACAACAGAGAGCAGCGCGTAGCAAGACAAGCAAAAGGTAGGCAGGGAGGGAACGGAGGGACTTTTGACACTGGCTTGCCATGCCAGGTACCTCAGCCAGCTAGACCCATCGCACAGGTTGGCGCAGGTAGGCTGACCCGCCCCGCACTCGCAAAGGATGCAGACAACTCCTGCCTGTGTGGTCATTGATGCATCAAAGTGGCAAGACTTGTCGCCCGACCCGAACAGTGGCATCCCCTCACACCTCCCTACCTCACCCCACCTAACCCCCCAATGCCATGCACATCAAGACTCAGATCATTATGTGGGCCAACTTCGCAAACAAAACAGTACATACCCTAACCAAAACAGTTCACAACGCATGGCAATGCGGAAACAAACACCCTATCGTTTCAGTACTTGATCTTAGACAGGTTCCGCCCCCCTTCCAACACAACAGGCTAAAAGGTTGTGTCTGAAAATTGCGGACCCCAACAAGCTGCGGATTGTCCAATGCGCCGCTGGAATAGCCCAAAAAAAACGCGGTTACAAGATTCCTTCAACCCCCCAGTGCGTACTCCCAGCAAATTCCACTGGAACGCCAGGGCTTCATTTTCCATGAGGTTCCTCTACAAGTTTTCCGTGTTTTCCTTGGGTTCCACGTGGGTCTTTGAAGTTCTTGAGCTACCCACATTCTAGCGGTTTCGGGAAACCAAGAGGACAACCGAGCCATTTTTGGGGGGTCTCCCAAAAAAGGACGACATTACCCAAATGGCTTTTGACCCCCCCGTGATTTCCAGGTCGTGATAAGCCAAACGGCTCCGGAATCCATGTTTATCATCTCCTTACAGAACTCCCAGCTCCTTAGTTCCCTTTTCAAAAGCAAATTCGGATCGCCCCAGCTCCGAATTAGCTCCCTTCCAACCACCAGCTTGACTAGACACACACCGTTTTGCACCAGAAGACCATCCATTTGCGAATACGTCCCCGGGAAAAAAGGAGAAGATATTTCCAGTCGTGAATTCGATTCCCCTTCAAAACCTTAGCTCTTTCCCAAGCACCAGCTGGCTAAGCTGGCTATCTGTCGCCCCTCCAACGCGGCCCCTCGCCTCGCCTCGCCTCGGTTCCCCGGCTCTTCGGTGGCCACCTGCGTGCGCAGGCGCTCGGCGTCCAGGCCTTAGGCAGAACCGAACCCCGCAGGCCGAAGCTCCGAAGGGTACCCGATTTTGTTTCAAACTAGTCTATGTTAGTAGGGGAAACGAATCTCCCCCCGAGAAAAAAAAAACAAGTAAAAGGGCACTTCTGGGGGACCTTCCCGTGGATGGATGTCATAAAATCCCCTAAAAGTACGGAACGAGGCCCCGAAAGAACCACAAAACCCTGGCAAATTATGGCAAATGACCCTTCAAAGATCAGTTTTTCCTCTTCAGTGGGCCCCCCTGACAGGTGCCCTGGTAGTGGGGGAAAGGTGTGTTTCTCTGAGGATGGTTGCGAAATCCAGGAATGCGCGAAGCACTCAAGAAACCCTGAGTTTCTGATTCGATTCCCCAACGTAAATACCAACAAACGTAATTTCAAAGTGGTGCGAAATGGATGTTGTCCACCCACAGCATGGCGCGGTGCATGCCCCATTCACTGTAGCAAAAATGAGATTCTTGGCAGACTCCATTAGGAGCCCCTAACAAGAAGAACCAAGCAAGCCACGACAACCGGCATGAAACAAATATCTTTGTGGGCTGAAAAGCACGGCATTTCTCACCTTTTGTAGTGGACAGGCCGAGAGTTGGCTCAAGGCTCCTTTGGATCCGGTCAAACCGTGCTTGTTGCCCTGTAAACCAACAAAAACCAGGTCTCCCAAAAGAAACCCCACAAAACATAATGCTGTGTGCGTGTTCCAAAGAACCCCACTTTAAACCAACCTAAACCCCACACAAAACTGTGCTTGTTCCAAAGAGCCCCACTTCAAATCCACCAAATACCGAGTTGTTCCAACTAAAGTTGGTTGCAACTAAAATTTTATTGAACCCTGAAACATTGTGCCTCTTGGGCATTTATTCTGGGTTGCTGTTGACGCCCCGGCAAAAAGTGTAACTTTTTGGGGGTTTAGTGCAAACCCCCTTGATTTCAACCAAAAAGCTAAAGTCTAAAGATAAGTTGCCCAATAGCAGTCAAGTATTGGCGAACCTTTAAACCAACCAAATACCAAGTCCAAACCTTGCGATCTACCAAATCGCCCAAGCCGCGCAGGTCGAAGCGCGCGCGGAGCAGCGACAGCTCCTAAGCCCAGAAGGGGAGGCCAAACCAGTAGAGGAACCCCGGAAATGGCTTTTTGTTTTGGTCCCTGGACGAAATGAGAAATATGTCCAATAGTGATAGGTTTTTGTTTTGTGTTTTTAACCAACAGGGGAAAATGAAACATCAAAAACAAACGCTGTCTGACTACAATCCTCTTGAAACCACAGTCCACTTCCAAAACTGTCGCCGGGTAAGCTACACAAAGAAGGGAAACACAAAGACTTCCATCAAAGACGTGCTCTACAGAACATAACTTGTGTTTCGAAGCAGCGCTTTGAATGGGCTCCACGTCAATTGAGAGCAAACATTATGTTGCCTTGAGACAGCCTTTCGTCAGATTCCAGATTTGGTGAGAAAGAACTAAGAAGAATCCCTGCCATAGACCGGTTGCCTTTGAGGAAGAACACGACAGCCGCAACTCCGTGGTCAACGTGACCCTCCCTCCAGTCATGGCCTCTTCAGTGGAATCGCTCGGCGGATGGAATCATGGAACATGGAAGAAAAGAACCAGGTGGAGCAAAACACCCTCAGGCCGGTGAGAGAGTCTACCATGCAACTGACTCATGGGAAACACGGGTCAAATACACCCATGCTAGGGGAGTCACACAGAAAAGTGATCTGGCCACACAAACACACACACACACTGTAAATTACGGGGTTAACATTAGTTGAGAGGAGATATGCACCCCAAAAGAGAAGAATCCCAGTCAAATGGAACACCACCTCCCTATCAGTTCAACCAGGGTTGATGATTCCTGGGCGTCCTTTTCCATGGGCAAAGGTCGAAAACGGCAGCTAAACAGCTCCCCCATGTCTCGCGTGCATCCAGGCAGCGACGCTATCATTGCCCTCGCAGCCGCGCTCTGGGCCTGACAAATCGCAGCGGAAAAAGTGAATCGCAGCGGTAAAAATATTCGAAGTAGGAAAGTGACAAAGGCCTGGAGTCAGCTTCCCTCTAATTGGTGGTTTGGATTGGTGGTTTGGTGGTTAATAAGGAGGGCTGTCCCATGCAACCAAACCACCAACCTTACGGGTTACCTCATATAATAGAGCCCATCTCCCACAGGTTCCAAGAGTCCCCAAAAATGGTTGGCTTGTTTTAGTTAGCGACCTGGCAGTCCTGAATGACTCAATGACAGCATCGTGGGGAAAAATGGCCACCAAAAACAGGGGTTTACGATTTGAGCATCTCCCATGCTCCCCCTACCGCCTTTGACCGAAACTCAGTCAATAAGTGGACCTCCAACAGAACCTAAGTGGCCAATACTGTTCTTGAAAAACTGGGCTGCCCTCAGATCCCCCGCTAAAAGTTCAACTTTTAGCTTGAACGCAAACTACCAACAAACCAACTAAAAGCCCAAAAAGCTAAGGAATCGGATGCCTAGGAGCCACCAAGAAGAACACCCGGGATATCCATTGAGAATGCACGCCTTCGGCTTGGGAAAACCTGCCTTCGGCCGGCCCCTCCCTCGTGCTCGATCGACCGATCGGTCCATTTTCGAGTCAGGCAATCACGTCTTCAGTGCAATGGGGTGGGGCATCGCCACACCTCCAGCTCCAAATCGGCAGAGCAGCTCCAAGCCAGAAATGAGCTCATGGATGATTAATTAGGACCAACACACACCCGAGAATCCCAGTCGGTCTGTTAACCTCTACCGGTATGGCAAAACCTGGCACTTCTGGCAAACTCCACCCGCGGTTCTCCATGGTTGGGCAACTTCGTTTGAGCTCCCAACCACTTGAGTGGCCAGGGATTGCTGCGCGGTACAAGTATCGATCGAAAGTGGTCCAAACTCCCCCCCTCTCTCCACCAACACAACCAGGAACTTCCGCAAATTCCTTTTTTAGCAACAACACCTCAAGTAAGAATTGGTTGGTTGGTTGGTTGGTTGGTTGGTTGGTGTGTGGCCAGCACTTGTTCGTGAGCCCAGGCCCGCGCTCCCTTCCCGCTTCCCGCTTCCCCCCCCCGCCGAAGCCTCAAGAATCGGATCCCAAAGTCAAGGACCGTCATGGGCTGCTCGCTTTACCCAACCGATATCCCTGGATTCCTACAACCCACCGCATGACCGGATGTTGCTCAGTTGCCCAAAGGACCCAGGAATGAAAGGTGATCACCTTCTGGGGCCATGGCTAAAAATGGATCAAAATCGGAAAGCCGAAAGGTCAAAAGGCTTTGGGCAACTGAGGTTGCTGGTCTCTTTGGCTTGTTAAAGCTCCCCCCCCCAAAAAAAAAAAATGAAGAAAGAACACACACAACTGCATTTCCAACCACGCCGCCGCGTCGCTTTCTTCGGTTCCTTTCGGATTCACCCTTGCGGCCACCCAAGCTATCCGATCCCTGCCGGCCGTCTAAAGGTGAGACCCAGTCCTCCGGAGGACAATTGGTAAAGGGCATGCAGTTGTTGTGGCATGATTTCGGAGCTTGTCCCTCCAAGCGGGGAAGCCAGGCAGCCAGGGCACCTCCCATTTTTTGCGGGGTCTACCCCTCACAGAATGACTTGAACACCGGAACTGTCCTACAGGAGCTCTGGGCAGCTACGACCGATGGGCGAACGGCGCCGCTTTGTGTGCGACTGGCCGTTCGCCTCAGAGGGGGGCCTTGCTGCCGCAGCTGGATCCGCACTGGCGGGTGGCCTGGGTGAGGATGTTGAAACATCCATAAGGGGAGATGCGCATATATATATATATATATGAATGAATGAATGAATGAATGAATGAATGAATGAACGAACGAACGAACGAACGAACGAATGAATGAATGAATGAATGAATGCATGCATGAATGAATGAGCGAACGGACGGAATGGAATGGAATGGAATGGAATGGAATGGAAAGGAAAGGAAAGGAAAGGAAAGGAAATGAATGAACGAACGAACGAACGAATGAATGCATGGAATGGAATGGGATGGGATGGGATGGGATGGGATGGGATGGGATGGAATGGAATGGAAAGGAAGGGAAGGGAAGGGAAGGGAAGGAAAGGAAATGAATGCATGCATGCATGCATGTATGTATGTACATATATGTATATACACATGTATATCAGGGCTGACCGTTTGCTGATCCCCTGCAACAAGGTTCTAACTTTTTGTGGGCTAAATGGAAACCCCCCACTACACCCTAGAAACCTATAAACCTAACGGGATGGCTGGGAACCACCAAGATATGGTACCCAACCCGGCACCATAACCCAACCACAGGACCACAAAATTATACAAAATTATAGGGAGAGAGGCTACCTGAGGACCTATGTATGACCAGGACCCCCGAGTTATAGGGAGGGGGGCTGCCTCAAAAACCTATGTGTGACCACGGGTGGGGGGCAGAGGGGACGCTGCACCATTTATAGTATATATATATATATGTGTGTGTGTGTGTGTGTGTGTGTGTGTAATGCACCTGACCTTCAACCAGAACATGTTCAATCCAGTCTTCGGGGGAAGGAACGCCCAAAAAGTAAGCCAAACAGTGTAGGCGGCCACTCAACTTGGGCCAACACCAATTTGAAAAAAAAAGAGAGACGCATGTCAATAAAACCACGGTAGAAGCAACCTCCAGACGGGCCTGTAAGGCTTCCAGACTTAGATGGAGCTCAATGCTTAGCCCTAGGGAAGCGGCTGGCAACCATGGGTCCCATCCGATTCATCCCAGCCCTTTTTCATGGGATCCCTGGGATCCCGGTGCCTTGCGCATGTGCCCGGCGGCCACGCCCAGGGTGGAGACCAGCTTGAAGGACTCACCTCGGACTTTAGTGGACTGGTGGATTCGATGTGCCCACAGGAACCAGAGCTCTGCCCAGCCACGGAAAACCACGGGCATCCTATGGGCATCCTTTTTCGGTTGGTTGAGTTTAAGTTGAAACCCTTCCAAAACAAGGGGGGTCAACGGGCGCCGCTGGGCAACTGGGAGAGGAAGGTTCAAGCCCAAACCCACCAATCCAAAGCAACAATTTTTGGGTGACCTCACTAAAGGGGCATCCTCTAGATCACCAGGTCACCTGGGCCCACAACGCTCACTTTCAATGGGCCCAAAAGGAAACCGAAAACGGGAGAACATGGCGGCCGCGAAAAAAAGGCAAAGAGCTCAGCGCCGCTACCACAGTCCAAGCACAAAAAAGGGACCGTGGTGAACCAAAAAAAAAAGAACCTGCTTTCCAATCATCGGAGTGGACCTTTTGAGGAGGACGCAGCTGCCTTCTCGTGAGAGCGCCGTGAAACGTGAACCGCGAGCCCCCACCCCAGACGCGAGCCGGATCCCATTCGAGCGAGCGGCTCTCGCAGACCGCCAGCGCGATGGGATCGCTGGAGCGGCAGGAGTCCTTCACCACGATGGTGGAGATGTAGGCCTCAGCTTCCCCTCGCGGACCGCACCAGCCAGCCCATGTGGAAAATCGCACCATATTGGTGGCACACAAAATAGGCCCATCCATGACTTCGCTTTCTAGGGGTTTCCCTGGTATCACAGCCCATTGCCCCTAAACAAACCAATGCCCCCCTCTCCCCAAAAGATGTGTGGCATGGCAACGCCTGGCTCGTTGCAGGGTTCCTTCACAGAACACAAACACCCAATATCTCCCAACATTGGGTCGTCAAAACCTTTTGGGTCTGACATGGTGGCACTTTGTCTCAGCATCCACTGCTAATCTTCCAGTTGTTTAAGCGTCCTGCAAGAAAGTGTTAGACATATTTCCAGTAGTGAGAGATTCCCTTTAAAACCCAGACGGGAAAACAAACAATATTCTCAAGCAAATGGAAGCTCGGACAGAGAGAGAGAAAGAGACAGAGGAAAAAAACCAAAGTGAGCCTTTCATGACTACAAATGGACTAAGTCGGAAAAAAACCAAACGGTTAGAGGGTCGATTCGCTTCGGGCACGCGAGTCGCCGAACGGGCTCGGACCCCCCAAAACCCCAAAATCCTCCCGCCTTGAGCAGCCCGTAGGTGGCGGAGTTGGCCTCGTTGGAGCAGACCCAAGAGCTCTGGTAGCAGTTGGACATCCTCGGTTTTTCGCGGTTTGCCGCTGGCAGCGCGTTTTTTGAGTTTTGCCCCCTTTTATCGGGCTGCCGTTGTTGAAGGGGGAAAGGAAAGCAACCCTTTCTTCAGGGCTTTTTAGGGTTGGTTCAAAGGGGGAAGGAAAGCCACCCTTTCTTTTGGGCTGACCTTTGTGGAGTTGGCTTATAGGGGGAAGCAAAACATCTCTTTTTTAGGGCTGCCCTGTCTGGGGCTGACGTTTGAAGGGGAGCAAAAACGAAAACAACCCTTGGGGGGGGTCCCCCGGTCTTTCCAGCTATATGGTTTTTGAACACGGGAGCCGCTCTGAGGTGGTGTTTTCAGCTTCCCTTCAAAACTAAATTCCCAAGTTGACTGGCCAAAAAAAGTCTGAACTTTTTATTTACCACTACAATGGTCTTTCCAAAAAGTTTAAAGTCCATCAACTCAGGAAGTGAGTAGAAGTGGGTCCCCTACTTTAAGACGAGTGAAACACCCAGGCTTGGGCGACCTGCTGAACATCCCAAGCAAGAATCCCATAAAGACAAGGTTTGGGGCCGTGACCCAAAACACAGCGGTGGCAAAAAAACAAAAAAACGCAGGACTCGCGTCACTGGAGAGTTACAACTGACTGGTGTGGCTCCCTTCTAAGCACCCAGCAAGTAGCCCCCAGCTCCCCAAAAACCAACCGGTGGGTGCGTCTGAGGCGCATCTTGGCCGAGGCCGTGATCACCTTGGCAATGCCTTCGCCGAGGAAAGGTTAGTCTTGAGCGGCTAAAGAGGAGAAGCTAAAGGCCTGAGATTGATACTGTGGATGGTTTTGCGAAATCCATTTCGCACCACTTGGAATCCATGGAGAACCGTTGTTCGTTGGCAGTTACAGCGGCATCAAATCCTTTCAGGGCTTTGCTAGGTGGTGCCTAAGAATGGATTTCGTCCATCCTCAGTAGCTAAAGCATTGGGGGAAAAAGAAAAAACAACTAGCGAATCTGCGGCATGACGATGTTGTTTCATGTTTATTTTTATGTTTCTGTTTTTTTTTGGAGAGGGCTGGCTTGAGCCCACTTCACTCCGCCGGCCTGACTGCACGGAGAGCGCGCTGGACCTGGGCTCAAGCGGTGCAGGCTACATGCTCAGTGAGGCTGTGGATGGACGAAATCCGTCCAATTGAAACCAGGGGATTCCGTTCTTCGTTGGCACTTGCACGGGGATCCATCATTCCAGGGCTTTTTTGGTAGTGCGAAAATGGATTTCGTTCATCCACACAAGGTCCCAAACCTCATAAAATGAAGCAGCGCAGCACCTCTCAACGCGGAAACCGGGCTCGAAAGCACCGAAGGGTCAGGGGGTCAGGGGCTTGAGAGAAACCATCCCCGGCGAGGTCCCATGCGCACTCATCGGAGGCATTTGAAAAGCTGCCATTTTCTGTGATACTCAAAGGGGTCGTCCAAACATTTCTCCTTTTGCATGCTCTTTAGTAACAAGAAGCCCGCCCCCCCCCGTTAGATGGGGCCCAAAACAGGTGTGCTGTCTTTTTGGATTCCCTTTAAACCAACCTGGGTGTACACTGGCCATGGGAAAGAATTCAACTCTTCTTTGGGTATTCGATTTCAATCGGTTACCTCCCTCTGTCCAAAATAGTCGAGAACGAAAAAGGCACTCGGCGCCCTCCTTCCTCAGCACTCGACTCGCAGTCTTCCACACTGAACATGGTCTTGTTGGTTGCCTGGGCGCGCAAGTTTGGGGCCGGGGGCAAAGGCGGATCCTTGTGGCAGAATCCAATGCATCTGCCTGGCAAAGGGGTTCCAGTTGCACCGGAGACTCCGACTTTTGGCTGTGAAAAGGCTCGACGGAGGTATGAGCCACCCTTCGTCAAATTCGCGGAGCGAATTTTGTTTGCAGGCTCCTTCACAAGAGATCTGCTTGCTTCCTAGCCAACAAGGTGGAACACCCAAGCGCAATGGGGTCAATTCACAATCTACAAAGAGGAACCTGCCGTGAAAAGAAGATTTAGAGCGTTGAATCCACTCAACCAGCCATTGGCTCCAGAACAGTGACATCCTCAAAATGCCCCTCGCTCGCATTAGGTGGTTTCAAGGGGCGTCGCCCGAAAGCGACTTTGACCACTGCCAGGGGTTGGTTTCAACCAATATTTTCAACAATCCTTCTTTTCAAAAACTGATCGCCGTTCTAGGAAAGAATGGGAATGGTACTCCTCTAAAAAAACAGAATCCCTCCAGATGCCGCAAGACCAACAGAAAACCCCCCAATTTGTTTTGGAGGAGGGTGTCCACCTCAAAAAGGACACACACACACACACAAAACTCGCCGCTTTCTTTGCCCCGAGCGGCATTGCAGTCCGCCCCGGCCGACACGATGGCCGCATAGAGGGAGGTGAGCTGGGCGATGGAGCTGGCCGTGTTCGCTGCACAGGCGGCCTCCAGGGACCCCCAAAGAACCCCCGGACTGTGGATGAACGGAATTCTGCACCACCTTGAAACCATGGAGAACCATTGGTGGTTGGCATTTACAAGGGGTATCAAATCCTTTCAGGGTTTGCTAGGTGGTGCCTAAGAGGATTTCGCAACCATCCACAGTATCCAGCGATTTAAAGCGAAAGCGAAAAGGAACCCCTGGATAAAAGGCGGATTTTTCCGCACCCATTCCATGATTGTAGAATCTAAGGTTCATCTATGAACCAGTATCATCTTGGAATCCAACGCGTCAGGTTTGGTTGCACTCAATTCTAGAAAACGGCTTGGATTCGACTTTTGCGGATCCATTCCTGGATACTAAAGTCGTATTAACATACTGTGGGTGGACGAAATCCCACCTTGATACCATGGGAAACCGTTTATTGGAAACCCCACACACAGGCGAGTCATCATGCCAGTTTCTGAACGGTGCCTAAGAGGATTTCGCAACCATCCACAGTATGGCCTAAAAAACGGAGCAGGAGAAAGTGTTGAGATCACAAAAAACGGCCCGAGATTCCGGACCCACTCTGTGGCGAAGGTCCTCGACCCTGGGATCCCTCTCAGCTTTTAACAGATGAACCTTACTTTCTACAAACAGGGTACAGGTTTAGAGGTGAACCTTACTGTGGATAGGTTCTACCAACATGCTTGTAACAGCTTTATAGGTGAACCTACCATAAGTCAGTAGAATGGGGTGTTGGGCGCTGGGAACAATTGTGTGGGGTACTTTGGTGTTCCGCCAAGTTGGGTTGTTGGCAAGTTTGGCCCGAACCCACTTACAAGCCCCCCCCTTCAGTGGAGTTAATGCTGGAAATTTGTGGGCGGTAACCCCAGAGGCTAAACAAACAATAGCTTGCGCCGAAGCTCCCATTCGCCTTGCCCAGTTGCCCGATGAAAAAGGGAGCCCTTGCTGAGGTCGACCATGTGCAGCTTCCCAATTGGTGGTTTGGATTGGTGGGAACTGGAGTAGATTTGAACGGGTCCCTGGTTCTTGTGGGTGAATAGGAAGCCTCCTAAGCACCAAACCACCAATCCAAACCGCCAATTCGAGGCAAGCTGACAATTGTTAGAGGGGAAACACACACGCACAACAATCGGGAAAGCAGGGATCCTTACATTATACACCTGAACATTGCCTTGTAAATGGTGGTGTCCCTTTATTTTGGTGGAAAAAGCCATGTTTCAAATGGGCAAAATGTATCTTTTAAGGAGCCCTGGAAAGGTGTGTTGCTTTGGGGTTCCTTCTTGAGTCTCTGTGACAGGGGTCGTTGGTAGTTGGTCCCTACGTGGGTCGGTGAAGTTGGCAACCGTTGTTGGCAACCTAGGCTTTTTCCCCGCTTGTGAGTCCACTAAGTGGGGTTGGCCTCTTGTTGTTAGTGGGTTCTACCCCAAGCGGCTAACCACTTTCCAACTTGGCCGAGCATCTGAGTAAGGGGAATCAAAGCAAACTAAATATCACCCTTGGGTTTGAGCCCGAGCAGGCTGACGAATTTTGGTGGGATTCCCAAAAATACGATGACGCAAATCCACAAATTGGAGACTCCCCTATTTTGCTACAGTGGCGCCCAGATGTGTCTCTCTTAAACATTACTCCACAAAGAGACTCAATCAAAAGTGTGTGAGCCATGGTGGGAAATACTTGTTTGCCCAAGAGGATGTGGGAAACTGAGTTGGTCGCCCTGGTTTCATTGGACATGTAGTGAGTCCCCTGTGTCCCTTCCAAATAACCTGCAAACTGCCAGTAGCTTTGGCCGCGGCTCATGTAGGAGGAAACACCAAAAAAAAAAAAAAAAAAAAAAAAAAAAACAAGCCAAAGGGAAAAGGGAAGCAACACGATTTTCCCAAGAACAAGGGGACAAATGAATGGCCTCCCTTTGGGCCTCCCTTGACAAAGCCAGCAAAAATTAGAAACCCTCCAGACACGCCCTCCGAAACGCCAGCTGCGAGCCTCGGTGACCATCTGCGAAGTGTTCCTCAAGTGGCCGGCAAGCTGGCCATTTGAACCCTGCTCAAGTTGGATTGAAGCAAAACCAACGGGAAAACCACAACTTTTTGGGTGGTACCAAACCTTGAAGTGGATTTCACCATTTGAAGAGATGCCAACAGGCAAACCACAATTTTGTGGGGTCCCCCTGTTTTGACCCATGCCTATGGGCCCCACCCGGCCGCCCACGTCCCACGGCTGACCGCAGCTGCGGGCCGAAGGGCGTGTACTCATCCTTCACCAGCGCGTTGATGCGGGGCAGCTGCTCCGCGGCGTCGGCCCAGGCAGTCTTCAGCACCCCCTGACATTTTTTGTTAATTTTTTTTCCGACGGCCGAACTTTTCCGGCGGTTCCGGCGGTTTCGGCGCGAGCGGAAAGGGGGTCCCCACACAAGCGTCTTGGTGTGGCCCGAGCGAAAAGGGGGTCCCAAGCATGTGCTTTTCTGCCACATGTTCAAGTGGGTCAGTTGGCTCTCAAGCGAAAAGGGGGGGGGTCCCAAAAAGCTCCTTGAAGAAGTCGGAGCATGACTTGTTTCTGCCACATAGTCGAGTGGGTCAGTTTTTTGTTGCTCCGAAATCTTGAGGGCCATCAACCTCGGTTTCCAAAAAAAAGAGAGAGCAAAACCTTCAGAAGGAACATCTTTCAGAACCTGTTTATCCCAGGTTAGCGGCATCCTTTCAGATCCTTTCAGTGATCCCTGGCAGAAAAATGAAGGAGTGACGTGCCGACGATAAGACATTTGCTCAAGCTGATTTCATTCGGCAATCCTTGTTGATTTCTTCTTTCTTTCGTTCTTTCTTTCCCTTCCCTTCCCTTCCCTTCCCTTCCCTTCCCTTCCCTTCGTCTTTGTTTATATTTCTCTCTCTCTCTCTCTCTTTCCCTCTCTCTCTCCTGTTTCACCGGGGCACCTTTCTTTCGGGAAATCCAGAGGTCTTCGCCGTGTGGCAAAATATGTTCATTTGCTCCAAAAAACAAGCCAGCTGTTCGTCCATCCTAAAAGGCTGGCGGCCAGCCCTATCGATAGGGACGAAAAACTTTCCGTGACCCTGACCAAGCACAAACTAAGATTCTGTGGATGGAAATCATGAGTGCCCCGGCAAACCCCTTAAGCCACAACCCCACCAAACCCCAGTTCACCCAACCCCATTCCAGCCCCGTTCCGGCCCAAGCTTTCATCCCTTCGGCCCTGTCTTTAGCATGTGCTCCTGTCGGTTTCCCTTTAAACCCATCTCCAAAAGCCACGGCGAGGCCTCACCCTCGCAACTTTTCCACCCCCCCCCTTCCCCCTCGCACCCAGTCGTCTGGACTTTGTCTCGCGCCTGCCTGGAGCCACTCCTGGGCCAGCTGCGCCACGCCGTTCACGTCCGAGGCGAAGGAGGCGTTCTCCTTGTGCAGGTCCCGCATCGTCGCCTCCCAAGATCTGCCCATAGGCGCAGAAGGCCCAGAGATCTCCGTTTTGGCTTGACCCCCATCAGGCCAAAAGAAGGCGGGGTGGGGTCAGAGGTTCACACAAGACACTGATTCAACGTAGAAATGAAGATAGTGGGTGATTTGAATTGGGTTGCAACCAATCCAAGCCGCGCCAATTAAGGCAAGCGCCTTAGAAAGGAACGCAATTTGGTCCTCAAAATCGAACATCAGAACAGCTGATTTCAAAAAACAAGGCCGGAAAACCGGGGGACTGGGGTTGAAAGCAGCTACCTGAATACCTGAAAGCCGGAAACCCTCGGCACCATGCAGCCGAAAGATGCGCAACCGTTGCGCAGGCCCAAATGTCTGACATGATTTTACCCCGCCCCCCTTTCACCTCATTTCAAGATTGATTCTCACTTCCTGAGTAATTAAAGGTCTAAACGTGATGTTTAGCAGCAAGATTGGTCTTCCCAAAACGTGTAAAGTATAGAAACTCAAGGGGAAAGACTGGGGCACTGGGCGGGACAGGTCCGACCTGTTCGACCTGCATTCCCAAAAGTTGGGTGTGTCACGTTCCTTTTTCTGGAGGGCAGCCTCCAACAAACATGCAGTACCAACGCCACCTGCTGTGGACGGACGACATCCTGCACCACTTTGAATCCACCGAAAACCATTGTTGGTTGGTGTTACAGTGACATCATCATTCCAGGGTTTCTTAGGTGGTGCAGGATTTCGTCCATCCACAGTATCACGGAATGAGCATCTCCCATATCCTCCATGAAGTCTCGGTTTTTTGAAGACACCCTCCATCGGCTTGGTTTAACGGGGAAAGTGAGGGAAGAAGAAAATTCGGACCACCTCACCCGCGGCTTCATGCAGCGAGTGGCCAAGGGGTGAAACAAACCATCGAAGACCCCTCATCCAGGGGTGCTTGTACATACCCCTTTTACATACCCCTTGGACAAATGAACCCAGAAGACCTGCTGATGTTCATGCCCCTCTCCCCAAAAGAGGTATATACCCCTTATGAATTGGGTTGGAAGCCATGGAAGCCAAGGGGTATGAACAAGGGGTACGTACTTCCACCCTTGGACCTCAAGCCGGCCTTGCTGAAAGCCTGGAGTTTGGAAGCACTGGACAGCTGAAAGGATCTTCCCAATGCTGCCATTTGGTTAAGACCCCTGGTAAAAAAATCACGAGTGATAGATTCCCTTTAAAACCAACAGGGGGAAATGGAAAAATATCCATTTCAGCAAATGGAAGAATGTCAATAGTAGTTCCATCCCCCCCCTGTGTCCTCCACTGGGGCTTGTTCAGAGAGGGAAGAGGCAGAGGAACTAGTTCCTCCCAAGCCTTCGGGCGGAAGTTCGGAGACAGGACTCATCTAGGGGCCAAATGAGCGAAGGTGGCAATGTTGTTGTGTTCATGTGTGTCCCTGGGGCAGGGACAAATCTTGACTCAGGTCATTTTTGTTGAAGCAAAAACAACTCGGGGGGCATTGTCAGTGCTTCCGGTTGCTTTTTCCCCCCGTAAAAAAATGAGAAAGTATGTCCAGTAGTGAAATTGATTCCCTTTGAAATCAAAAGGGACATTTTAAAGTAATAGCATTCATTCCAGCAAATGGAAGTTTTGACCCTGCTTGCAGTTGCCACTGTAGTTGGTAACCAGCGTTTCTTACCTCTAGGTTTTTGTGTTTCTCCTCCGACTTCTTCGAAGCCCAAGGGGCGATGTTGGTCATGATCTCCCCAGCGTGGCCGATGGCAAAGTTTTGCATCGTCAGCAGGGCGTGCTGCTCCCTCTCCGCGGCGCTCCCAAAGTTCTTGATGCCTAGGCAGCTTGGTAGAAGTGTTTGCTTCTAGGGCTACCCTCCCCCACCAAATAACACATGGAACCTGACGGGAGGAAACAAAAACAAAGCAAGGAAGCATTGATAGTGAGCGCGATGGACAAGAGTGCGGACATTCTCCACCTGAATTGCCAGCCACAGTGGTTTCCTGTCTGGTGGGAAAGTAAGCAACAATGGTACCGGTAACGTTGCGGTGACCGTCTACAAGACATGAGAGAGACTTCCCCAGGGGGCATCCAGGCACCGGAACACAGAATCCAACGTCTCAAGGCAAACAACCAAAAATACGTCGACTCGAGATGTTGGGGCTTCCCCCCACTGTCTTTTTCACCCGCCCCCCCCCCCTCCGGGGAAGAAACCAGTGGGTCCGATTTTGGGCTCGTAACCCCCCTCCTCCACCCCCCAGTGGGTGCGATGTGGGGCTCGGACCCCTCCACCCCCCGCGGCATTTGCGTCCGGTCCCAAACTTCGCAGGCTCCCAGCATCCCCGTTGCCGGAAATCCCAACTCTTGTCCAGCGTCTCGCGTTGGGTGGGGAAGGGCACAAAGGGAAACTGAAGGACCCCAAAGAGCAAAGTTGCGGCAACATCCATTCGTCTGAGAATTCTCGAGTGCTCAAATTGCTTTTGGGCACGCTTCGCTTTGACCCCTCCGCGCCGGCAATTTTGAGGCCACTTTTGGACGCCAAACAAATAAATGTAAAAATAATAATAATAAAAACAAATGTTGATACCTCTTTTCTTCACGCGCAACCAAGAAAAACCCGCTTTTCTGGGGGGGCGAAAAGCCAAAAACACAAATACACGGATTGACCCTTTGTGCGAGGCGAGGGTCCCTTGTCCGGTAGCACAGCGCTGGTCTTGTTCACCATCAACATGAACTTGGGCGTGATGCGCTCGATGACCCCTACCGCCTGGCTCGCCGGAGTTGAGGTTGAAGCCAGACACGAGCGAGTTGGTTCCGCTTCGAATTCCGAAATCCGAGGCTCGCACCACGAAAAATGAAACCAGGATGGAAACCATAACATTTGTTGGTATGCACAGGGGGCTAACCATTCTGGGGACTCTTAGGTGGTGCGAAATGGATTTTGTCCATCCACACTAAGGGCGACCAACAGGAGGTTCTTGAAACACTTGTTTTAACAGAAAACCGAATGAATCGAAGAGCGAATAACATGGCAAAGCCAGCGAGCGACATATTGTTTTGCCCATCCACTGCATGGTTCAATCTAAAACTTGGCTGGTTCGCCTCCATGAACCATCCCTTGCGTCCTTCAAGGGACCCCCTTCCGGCTCATTCCCAAACTCTTCATGCCCTGAGTGGCAAGCAAACCAGGCAGGGCTTAGAACAGTCCCAATATTTTGCAAAACCTCACCTTAAATGGCCCAGGACGAAGAACTTTCCTAGTACACCGAGAAGTTACCCAAAATAATCACAACACAAACAAAAATGACCAGGTGCCCATCTGGAAATAGGCTATAATTTTTGGCGCAGGTGACGCTTAAAACCAAATGGATATGTATCGATATGTTTCGGAAAAAAAGGACCCCCCCCCCCATACCATCTAGGTCCTCCAGTAGACAGGTTGGAATCAGGGCACCCTTTTTTTCTGTAGTCTATTTTAGTAGGAAAAGCCCTCCCCCCCCCCCAAAAAAAAAAAAAAGTGAGAAAGGGGGGGACCTAGCCATTCTTGGTTGCTCTTGACCCCCCTGCAAAAAGTTTCTCACTTTCTGGGGGTTTAGTTCGGAAAACCCCACTTGTATTTCAACCAAAAAGTCAAAGTCTAAAGATCCGTTACCCAATAGCAGTCAAGTATTGGCGAACCCTTTAAACCAACCAAATACCTTGCGTCCACACCTTGCGACCTACCAACTCGCCCAAGCCGATTGTGAGAACCCCCCCCCCCCCCCATTTTCCCCGTGAGACGAATTGTTTCTACTTGAGAACGCCCCCCTCCGGCTTCCGTCTCGGCCGCCGCGGCTTCGTTTTGGTCGCGCCTCCGCGGTGGCGCCCACGAGCTTCGAGAAGTCGTCCTGCGGCTTGCGGCTTGGACACATCTTCGGCCCGGGGCGGGCGATTTGTTCATCTGAACCTGAAAAAGACCCAGACAAGAAGAAAGGAACTGAGTGCTTGTAATTAGTAGTGTTTTTTTGGGTCTAAATTTAGGGGGAACAAAAACGTCTGTTGTTGTAGTCTGCGAGGTTGTTTTCTGAAAAAGACAAGATGGTGGTTGAATCAAACTTCAATAAACCAGCTACTTCGGTGACCCGTCGAATGGGCTCGATCGTTCTGAAATCGCATGCGAACAAAAACGCAGGATTGTCCTTTGACGCAAGCATGCGCAAGGAACTCCGTTAAAACCCGTGCAGGGTCCTTTTGGCCGTCCAGCTAATTCAGGGCGCAGAGAGGGTCGAGTCATAGTTTCAGTCATGCTAGTGGGAGGGGTTCCGGTAAGGGTCCTTGTATTTCAATAGGGCGCCAACCCCCCTCAAACCTGGCCCTCAACAAGGAAGAGGCTTTGCCACACTCCAAGACCCCCTTGGAGGTAGAAATCACCTGGTTGAGTCTTTCCAGGAACCTCTGAGCACCATAGGCTATCCTCCCAGCATAAGAGGGTCTTGGAAAGCCGCCTGTCTACTTCCATTGTAGGATCTCTTTGCCAGGTCGGTGGGTTGCGGCCGGTCTCTTCCATTCTCCTTATTTTGCGTGGGGAAGACGGTCGACCCCAAAGGCAGGGCAGACCTGTTTTTGCCAAGGGGGCGGTCTTGGAGGAGTGTGGCAAACTCTTCTTTTGAGCGCCGGGTTGGGGGAGCCTGCAAGGGTTCTTTTTGTGTGCCAGGGTCACTAGACCAGCGCCACTTACAACCAAGGGAACCTTGTTTCACAGCCCAAGATGAGACATGCTGCAGGAAATCTGATATCTTCTCAAAACCCTGTGAATTTTTGCACGTGGTCGCGCAGGGTCTGTCCTGGCCAGCCCTTCCGTGGGAAAGCGCTTGGATTCTGAACGACCTTGGATTGAAAACCCCTTCTTGGGCACCAAAAAGAAACCCATTCAACTGTCAACCCAGGCGAATCAACCCCTGTTCATTAAAAGGGGTGTCAACCTGGTTTTCGTAGGGTTTCATCACTTCTTGGCGGGCCCCCCCCAACCCCCATCTTGTCCCAAGTGTAAAAAAATCCGGGGGGTCAACATTGCTCATTTGGCCCCCAAATCACCCCACCCCATCACTTGGCCCCCCAATCCCCCCCCCCAAGAAAACAGGAGATTCCCATCTTCTCCCAAGTGGGGACATGTATTTTTCTCCGGGGTGAGCCCGTCGGCCGCGCATCGGACGCCAACCCCCCAGGCGGGCCATCCTTGAAGGAGGTGCGCATGGCCCGCGCCACCAGCACCACCAGGCGGTTGTTCAGCGCCTTGCGGCCGACGCTCGAGGGGCGCGCAATCCGGGGGCGCGCGCGCGCCGAGGAGCTCCGAGGAAACCCGTGCAGGGGGGGCCAAGTCATTTGGGGCCAGCAACCCTTGGGGTGCCAAGCGAAACCAAAACCAAAAGGTGCGATGGGAATAGTACTCGCTTCCCGAGTGGGGTGGCAAAAGAAAAGCAAGCACCCCAGCTTTTCATTTACCACCAAAATTGCCTTCCAGGAAAAGTTTAAGCCCAAGTGTTAAGTCCGAAGTGGGATATAAATGATTATACCTATATATTTCTATGGTCAGCTCACCCATCTATCCCCCCAAAATGGATGCAACATTACATGTGTCTGACAAGAGGGCACGGGGGCTCCCGAACACCAAGTCCGTACCCGCCCACACCGCCCAACAGGCTTTCACCAGCACCCTCCGTCCCCCCAACCCTGGATGCGTCTCCCTCTCCAAACCGAACAGAACGATTTCTGCAAAATGAAACAGAAGGATGCATGGCTCATGGTCTGAGCCAACATCTGAGGGAAGAGAACGATGGTGTTTTACTGTACGCGATTGCAAAATGAGCACCTTATAAGTTGGCCCTTAGGAATCTACCTGGATCTCCTGGAAGTTAAGAAATCCTACTCCCAAATTAAAAAAGTACTTTTTGGCCTGAGGACACGGGTATTTCCACTTTCGAACGGGTATTTCTACTCTTGAACGGATATGTTCACTACCATCGAAGTGTTCATAAATCAGCACTGCACATAAATTATCAAAGGCTTATTGCGTAATGTTGGCGTATTTTTTGCGTACCTCCGAACGGGTCCGAACGGGTACGAACGGGTACGAACGGGTTTGAACGGGTTTCGAACGGGTTTCGAACGGGTTCCCAACGGGTCCGAACGGATGCCTGAGCAGTCGGAACTACCCGAACGGGCATTTTAACACGGAGTGAAAATTATCACTCCAGCATGGAAGAAAGTACTTTTTTTCTTTTTGGAGTGGGAATTATTAACTTTCAAGAGATGCAGGTACTATAATTAGCAACTAGTAAGTTGATCCGCAATCACCACGTGCCTGGGTCGCTTTGCTGTGCCAATCCGAAAAAAGTGAACCAACCCCTTCAGCCTCGATCTCGTCAGTCATCTTCACCATGGGCTGCTGGACGTCCGTCTCGAAGTCGAAGTCGCACCTCCGTGGATCGGAGTCGGAGGTGTCTCAAACTGGGGAGATCGGAACGCCCCAGATGGGTGGAGCCCTGCTTCGTTTTTTTTTGGGGGGGTTTCCCTTTAACAGCTTCCTCTAGTCCCCTCTGTTCGCGTCTGACGCTTCCTGCAGCTTCCTCTATTTCCCTCTATTCGCTTCTGATGCCCCTGGGTGCGATTCTGAAGCTTCCTCTATTCAACTCTATGCGATCTAGTAGTCCTATCCATTCGCTTCGCTTCTGAAGCTTCCATTCCCCTCTGTTCGCTTTCGAAGCTTTCACAATCACCCCAGCGTGCTTCTGAAGCTTCGGCTTGAGAATTTTAGAGACGGCCCCATACCTGAAATGGAACGTGTTGTCAACCAAAAACTGCCACCAAGCATCTTGGTTGCTGTTGACCCCTCTGCCAAAAGCTTAGCTTTTCGTGGGTCCAATGGAAAATCCACTGTTTCCCAAAAAGCCAAAGTTAATAACCATGAAGCATGAACAACTAGCTACTGTCATGCATCTTTCAGCCCATCGGGTGGACATGTTTGGATATGTTCATGTTTCGAAGCGTTCCTTGTTGCGCAAACAGTGGCATGAGTGTGTCACGATGTTTAGACCACCCGAATGTGCTCATGGTGAGACATTGGCCCCATTGATAACAAAGTGGGATCTTGACAAACGGTCAACCTGATAGGATGAATATGTGTTGTTCACTTGTTTGCTACCGTAAAGGTTGACCCAGCTTCATGGCCCTAAAAGAGGGCTTCTCATGATGCTGGGCAGGATGCAACAAAGCTTGGCTGGAATTAGGACCCCAGCAAAAAAATACTTCTGTGCCTGGTTAGTGGGAAACAAAGGGGACCCCAAACAAGCAACAACAAAAAATCAAGAAGGGGAACTAATTCTGGGGAAGAAAGGAGGACTTTACCTCTTTCTCGCTTCCGTACATGAAAGCCAAAGAACCCGCACTTGGGCCACGGCGATGTTCCATCTCTGACATGCAAGTTGATATAGGTGTTTTTTTAGGGGAAATAGATGGGCCCTGGTAGATGATTAAACCACCAGGTAAGCCAGGAATCGCCATCGACTTTTCGAACAAAACAACCAAAAAGGACACCTATGCGGGCCGATGAAAGCACCACCACCCGCCCCGGGGTTCAACGAACCCGCCTTTTGCGGGACAGCTGCAGCGCGTTCAGCGCACAGGTCTCCGCATCACGGCAGTCGTCGTCCACCGCTAGGCCAGCTTCCTCCGAAGGGGAAATGACCAGCTTCATGGCAAAATGGCCATGGGTCAAAAGCCAAATCGTACCCCAGTGAACATCACATCCCAATCCCCACTACAATCGACTAAAATGGGTGGTGCACCCACCCCAAAATGGTACCATTGGTTTTGACCCACGGCCAAATCTTGCTGGCGCGAGAGGCAGGGACTGAGACATGGAAGACCCTTATAACCCATCCAACTCGTGGTTTTCTGAATGTCCCCGTCCCTGGCCCAAGCTCATGAGGCCCTCGGTTGTACATGACTTGCCATTTTCTGAAGGGAAAAAACGAGAATTGTATGAAAGGGTTGCCCGTGATTTTCAATGTATTCCCTTTAATGGATGGAGTGATGTTGCAAGTAAACAAGCTACGTCCAACCACGTACCACAAAAACAAACCTTCCAGAACTCACAGCAAACACATCAGGGATTCCAATCAGGGGCGATCAAAAAGCACTGAAGGCAGCTTTAACCTTCCATTAGCTTAAGTCTCCCGGAGAAAATTGTTTATCAAACATCCTGTGATAAATTCCATCTAAACACCAAGAGGGAAAATAAAAAAGAAACAAATATTAATGTTCAGCAAATTGGAAGGCGACCCAGGGAAGGATTCTCTATGGATTTCTGGACCCCTCAGGGAACTGGATCCCGCTGTCTCTAGGGTGAGTGACCTGATCTTCGCATCACGTCTAATATGTCTGCGTGCGTGTTTATTTTTTTAGGCTCGTGTCTTGCGGCTTTAACGTGGGGACACCAAAAGGACACCAAGCATTTTTGGGAGTACAAAAAGGCACACTCGTTTTGGAGAATCAACTACTTTTCACTTGGGAGCGGCCTTTCCAACGACAAACTCCGACCATTCAAGAAGCAGTTCCCTGAATTCATTCCAGCAACATTTTACCCTTACATTCGTGGGGCTGTCTTTTGAGGATACCCTTTTTGAATAGTTTCAAAGGAGCCAAAAGGAAACCCCCACATGACCCTATTCCACCATAGTGGTAACAAGAACCAATCTCTGCAAAGATGCTTGCGTCACGCCGACTGAACCCAGGGGCAAAGCAGTACAAGCAACTTGTGTGGTCCATCCAAACAACACAAGGTCTGTCAGCAACAAGCGAGGAGCGAGTAGGGATTCATAAAAATCTTAGGGGACAAATGAAGAGTGGTTGGGGGGCTGAGTCGGGATTCATCAAACTCGGGGCAGTTCTCTTGGCAATTTTGCGGGTCCCAAACTCCTGGAAAGGCCCCTCACCCCAGGCTGGAAAGCTTGACACAGTTTGCCAAGTCCCCGATGTGTGATTACGGACAGCATCGTGGGATTGGACCAAACTCAATGTTCTTACAGAACTCCTGCTAGCTCCTTGGCTCCCTCTTTGGACACACCTAGCTCCTTGGCGAAGCATTCCAACCACCTGAACCCCAAACGCCAAACTCAACCCCTGGCCGCACCAACAAAAACCACCTGGACGACTTGCCACAAGCCGAACACGACAACGCGCGGAAACAAAAAAAAAGTGCGCACGCGCCTCCGGGGAGGAGGCCAGAAACTGCTGCACCAAGGCCAGGCCGCAGATCTTCGCCAAAGAGAACATGACGAGAGGCTATGAATATCTATGAAAGAATTTGGAGCTCGCTGCCTCGAGCCAGAGAACAACACGGCGCAGCTTTCTTTGACAAAACCAAAAATCACGGCGTGGGTCAAAGTATGTCAAAAGGGGAGGTAGAAACCGGATCAAGTGGCAGGCGTTGATGCGTGCAACGATTTCTTGGTGCTGAACATCAAATCAAGGGACGCGGCAAGCCAAGTCAAGTCGCTACATATGTAAACACGACATATAACACGGAGGTGAACTGCAAATCATCAGGCCTAACTATGCGAGCACACGCATGTTCACGTGTTTTTGAACACCGATGCTGGCAGCCAGCTTGATGGGTGCTAGCGGGTCATCGCAGCGGCATCCTCGATTCCCGAAACGACCTGGAAATACAATATGTTCCCTTTGGGGTCATGACAAGAATGCACCAACGAGGGGAAACTAAAGGGTCAGCTTCGGTCGATTCGCTTTGGGAAAAAGGGTGAGGATTGCAAAACATGTTAAGCATCCAGAAAAAATAACTTGCTAAGCATCAAAAACAAACATGCCGGGCTGCACCGGCTTATTGGGCTGGACACCAAGCAAGCAGGCGCACAGCCTCTCCACGCACACTCATGGAGAAATTGGTGGGTTGAGGTTGGTTTAGGGTCGGGAAACGTGGGTTTCAGGTAGGCTTTGGATTCCTAAGAGTTCGTCCCGGTTTAGGTTTGTGATGCTGGGGTGTTATCTGCTGGTGATGCTGAGGATGCTGAGCATCGAAAGCCAGAGCCACACCAGCCACCAAAGCCGGGAAAACTCGCAAGTAGTCGCAAAATCCAACAAAAACAGCCCGCAGCAAAACATCATGAAATTATTGTCCCTCCATGTTCCTCCTTTGTTCTTTGTTTCCTGCTAATGCACCTCTAGATCGAGGATTGAGTTGGCCATGAGCAGCGTAAGGGAAAAAAACAAATCAAGAGACTCTCGAAGAAGCAGCCAAGATATGTGTCTATAAATATACATATATACATATATATATATATATATATGTGTGTGTGTGTCTTTGTCGTCCAGAACACCTACATGTTTATCCAGTTTATGTAATTTCACTGGTCGAAGGCAAACAAACACATACAGTTGCTTTCAAACACATAGGTCTTGATATGCCCCTGCGGTGCCGAGACAAACTAAACACAGTTTGAAAGGCAACTCCCTGGATCATAGTGCACGAGCAACCCGTGTAACATTTCGCTGGATTGAACATGCGTCGACAGCAGGAAATCGGTGTCTCTTTTTCTAGGGGCCAAACAGACCTGGAGGCCCCCGGCCAAAAAAACATCCCCAAAAAGTGTTGGGTACCCTCAAAAAGACACCCAGATCCAAATCACTCGATTTGCGACCCCTTGAAAGTCACCTTTCCTTTGGGGTTCCAACTTGAAAACCACCAAAGGCGTCCATGTGCTCTTGTCGCCTGGAAAAAAGAGAGTGAACATGTCATCAGTAGTGACTTGTAGATCCCCTTGGAAGCCAAGGGAAAACCAATCATGTTTGTCAAATGGAAGCAGGGGGACCCAAATGCTCGGCCCGTGGCACGCAACCCGCGAGAAGCGTTTCTTTTGTTCATCGCATGCGTCAGGATCCTAAGGCAAACAGCGTCGACCCGGGCCACGGAGAAAGTCAGCGATTTCATCTCCAAAAGGACGCCAAACATCTGAGCATTGCCTTGTAAATCTTTTTTTCCCCTTTATTTGGGTGTTGAAAAAGCAACATGTTTCAACTGGTTGCGAAATAGAGATCTTTTAAGGAGCCCTGCCAAAAGATGCCAGCGTTCTATGCGGCTCTATGCGTCCTTGTTTGGCTAGGTGGAAAGTAGATGGCCCCTGGCGAACTCCTGGAGGTTCAATCATCTATTGGGGCCATCGATGCTCGACCTCGCCAACAAAAAATGGGACACCTCTCTTCGCCATATTCGTTCATCATTCATCTGCTTCCAACAAAAAAGGACACCTTTGGGGCTATCGATGTTCGATCTCACCCGCAAAAAAGGACGAACACCTGGAGGTTCAATCATCTATTCGGGCCATCGATGTTTGACCTCACCAACAAAAAATGGGACACCTCTCTTCGCCATATTCGTTCATCATTCATCTGCTTCCAACAAAAAAGGATTTGGGGCTATCGATGTTCGATCTCACCCGCAAAAAAGGATGAAATCCTGGAGGTTCAATCATCTATTCGGGCCATCGATGTTCGACCTCACCAACAAAAAATGGGACACCTCTCTTCGCCATATTCGTTCATCATTCATCTGCTTCCAACAAAAAAGAACACCTTTGGGGCTATCGATGTTCGATCTCAGCCGCAAAAAAGGACGAACACCTGGAGGTTCAATCATCTATTAGGGCCATCGATTTTTTCGACCTCACCTCTGGCGTATTCATTCGTTGATCTCAATCAACACGCTGCTCAACATCGGCCATGGGTTGTGGGCTGGCGACTTTCGGCCAGCCCTCGCGCGGGGGAAGGCTCGCAAGGCTCAGAGGGGGGCCTTGCTGCCGCAGCTGGACCCGCACATCCGAGTGGCCTGGGGCGTATCAGCCGCAAAAGCAGACGGCAAGTGTGGCCACCTCCAAAGCGGGGTATCTGAGCAAAAATGCAACCATGCCCCTTGAACCTACCTAGAAAGGGTGGTCATGTCAATTTTAGCCGGCTGAAGACTTGGCTTCAACCTCCTGGCTAAAGTTCACCGAGGGAAAAATTGCCACCTCCTCTCCCTTTAGGAGCCCCTTGGACCCTAAATATATATACATATTTATTTATTCATTTATTTATTTATTTTATATGAGAGCCTTCAACCCCCATATCCGCCTCCTCTTGACTTCTCTTCTGCCTGGTTTTTCACTGGCCGGTGCCTTGCGCATGTGCCCGGCCGCCACGCCCAGGGTGGAGACCAGCTTGAAGGACTCGCCTCGGGAACCAGGGCTTGGGGTCATGGGCGGGGGACGGGGGGGCAGCTTTCATTTTGAGATGGCCATGGCCTGGGGCAAGAGAGGGGGCAGCTTCCGCCGTTTTGCTTTGAGCCACCGAGCAAATGATGTGAGCTCTGCTTGCGGGGACCTCTCTGCCCAGGGGTCAGTCTCCAAGAAGCCGGTGGCAAATTGTCCCAGATAGGTACCGCTATAGCACACAACCAGCCAATTTCTCTCAGGCTGTTGAAAGGTGGCGTCCTTTGCTACCTGCTATACAGGGGAATGGGGTCGGTAGGCTTGTCTAGGGAGACGGTGAGGATGAAAGCGGGCCCGGAGGAGGGCCACTTGAAACCACTCCTCTGCCCTTTAAATGCTGCCAGGCTGAGAGTATCAACGCAAATGTGTAGCTCGTGTCCAGCCGCATGTATGCCCGGGATTCGCACCACACAAGAATCCCGGGAATGATGACCCCCCTGTAAATACCAGCCACAATGGTGTCCCGCGCTTATAGTGGTGCAGGATTTCGTTCATCCACAGTATGATTCAGCTTCTCTCCAGCTGGTGGTTTGATACTGTTTAGGGGTTGTTTCCCCCATCCAAACCACCAATTGAGGGTTCCTTGAATGCATGTGAATGCATGCTATCCATGGCGCAGCGTGACTAAAGGCCGTTGGTCCTCTCTGCAACCGCGTTGTTTCCGGAAATGGGGTTACAAGGAGCCCCTTTGATGGGTTAGAGGGACATCAATTGGACGCCTATCATCTAGAGAGTCCTTGAATTGAAGAACCATCACTATGTATAACGTTCATATGTGTCTATATATACATGCAAAACAATATATGTGGGGGTTGTACAAAATTACTTTGCCTGGGGACCCCCAATCGCCGGCCAATCGCGGTCCAATCGCGATCCCACAGGTTCTAATCGCGGAGCCACGTTGCTCATCGCTGCTGTTTCTGTTTCGGTTTTCACTGTCTTATCTCAAGCGCTGGTAGTCTTCCGTCCCTACCTGGAAACTGGAAGGAAGTGAAACTCGTCCAATCGCCGTCCAATCGCCGTCCAACCACGGAATTCGTCGGTGAAACTTTGGTTTGCAGCTTCCAGCCTTTGCCAGTAAGCAGATTTAGAAAGCACAGCCTGGGCCTGCGCAGGCAAAATCAACATTCAGCTTTCCGGGAGGAACTTTTGTGCGAGCCCGTGCAATCAAAATGAGACAACAACTTCGTTGCCCTTTCGCGGTCCAACCGCCGGCCTTGCGCGGCTCGAGTTTTACCAATCGCGCGGTTCAGCAAGTTGCTGCTGTTCATAAGTTTTAGACATGCAATTACGGACGGCCCCCATGTACATATGCATGTACACATATATGGTGTGTGTGTTCATTCGCTTCTTGACTTGCGTACCTTATACATTTAGATGCAACTGACTCGCTCAGACAAGAATCCGGCCCCCGTCTTCTGGCCTTGTACACACAATCCACAAGTGGTCGTCAACCCTAGGGCCGCCAGCACCGGTTCCACCGTCCGTCATTGCTGCAACCGTCCCCGGGAGAAAAAATCGGCTGCAGGGGTTCAAACCGAAGCAAGCGGCTCTCGCAGACCGCCAGCGCGATGGGATCGCTGGAGCGGCAGGAGTCCTTCACCACGATGGTGGAGATGTAGGCCTCAAGTCGCAGATGAACAGTCCTTGGTTATGGTTCGTTTTTGGTCGCTCTTTTCCGATGATGCTAAACATGGTGGTTATTGCACTCTTAAGAATGCGTGGGCTTTGACTGCCGACAGCCCCACTCTGCCAATGTTCTGCAACCAGACAAATGGCGCTTTCAAGGCGCTAAGCCCCGCCAATAACCACCAAGCGCTTTAGGCTTGACAGGCCAACGCCTTTTCTTAGCCTCAACACTTTGGAGCCAAGGTCTTTGGAGGGTTCGAAGGGGGCATAACAGCAAGTCTTTGTGCAGCCAGTATCTCCGAATGGTCCGAATGGGAGCTTCCGTAACCTGCACAACCAACCCGCAATCCGCAAAATCAGTGTTGGTTTAAAGCGATTTTGGAGAGTACCCCCAAAATCGCGGCAACTTTTCAGGCAGGGCACCCTAAATGTTTTCTTGGACTCCAGCCGAAGTATAAGCTACTTGTTTCTTGGCCTTATTTGTTTGGAGGGAGGAGTTGGTGGGGGGGGGATGGGATCCCCCAACTAGGAGATCACTTCGACTGGGCCTTACCCGGGAGGGTACTACAATAAGGGAGCGACCTCCATGAGTGAGCTCGGTTTACCCACAGCCTGTCCAGAAACATACTCATGGACAACATCCTCTCCACTGAGTGAAATCCATTTCGCACCACCTAAGAAACATCTTTGGAATGATTCCAATTTCACGACAGGAAGTTTTGTCCAGAAATGACGCTTGAAGAAAACCCGAGCAAGCTGGTTCTGGAGCTGCCAGACCTTGCTTTCTGTTTTCTTCCCCAGTCGCTTTAGTTGTTGTTTTTTTAATCTATTTACTTTTTCATTTTTTCGCATTTGGGAGGCCGACCCCCACTGGTGTCTGGGGTCCACTGGCTTTCTTTAAAATCCTCAGCGAATCGACCGGAGTCCGGATCTGAGCTTTTGGCTTCTGCCGTGTCCGAGCGACCCACAAACGAGTACCCCAAATGGAGTACCCCACTGCGTGGGCGAAACAAAAATCACCTATTGCTCCAGCCTCCTGGAAAAAGTAAACATTTCTCTGGCAGTGATAGATTCTTTTAAACCAACAGGGGGGGGAAAAGAAACAACTCAAAGCCAAAGCCCCCCCCCATATGATAAATTCCCTTCAAAACCACCAAAAGGCACAACATACTCATTTCAGTCGTGGTAGCTTCCCTTGAAAACCACAAGGGGGGAGAAAGCAACAAATATTCATTTCAGCAACTGGGGTTTCAGCCGGCGGCCTTCCAGGCGTCACGGGCCTCTCTCGTCCGTTCGATCGATCTCCGTGCCCCTTGGCCTTGAGCAGCTTGTAGCCGGCAGCGCTGGACTCGTCGGCGCAGACCCAGGAGCTCTGGTAGCAGTTGGACATCCTCGGCGCGCGGATGGGCGCGGATTGGCGCGGAGTGGGTCGGCGCGCGGATGGGCGCGGAGATTTCCGAAGCAAAACGAAGAGGGGGGGGGGGCGGGGTGAGGGGTGGGGTGGAGTGGGTGGGGGGTGGGGGTGGGGGCTGAGCTGAACCCATCCTTCCACAAGGGACGGACGGCTTTGCCGATTCGGTCGAATCCATCTGCGTCTGAGCCGCATCTTGGCAGAGGCCGAGATCACCTGGGCGATGCCTCGGGCTGGCTGGCGCGCTCTCAGCTTCCAGCTGCCCCCCCCCCACTCCCCACCCGCTGGGAAGGGGAAAACCACGATGCCATGGATCATTTGTCCGTGTTGTGTGGGGGGTGGTTAGCCAAAAAGGAAAGGCCAAAAGCCGGCTTCAAAGGAACGGTATTCAGATCCCTTCGGTCTGCTTGGTGCTGAGTGCTGAGGCACTGGAGCTCAAGCCAAGCCAGCAATCCAGCGCATATCCAGCGCAACCCCTTTTAAAAAGAAAGCTGCTCCGATTCAGGCACGGGCGGGGCCAGCTCTGCGAGCATCGGACTGAAACCCTCGGAGACTTCGGATTCCCGGGTGTTGAAGAGTAAATCTGCGGGCTAGCAAGAAACCTGCTCAACGATCAACGTGAATCAGCTTTCGCTACGATTCCAGCTCGAAGCTCCCGGGGGAGAAGGATTTTTCTCTGAAAATGTGTAGGTGGCAAAGCTACGACATTGCGGGGTAAATCAAGTTGTTTTTCCCCGTCGCTGCGCGGCCAAAGCAATCCACATCCTCGTGGAGTTTTGTGGAGTGACCAAGGCCACATCCGCAAATTCGTGCAACGCGAAGATTCAAAATAGGCTGTGACCGACATCAATATGTTGGGATCATAGCCCATTCTGCAGACCCACTAAGACCACTCCATTGTGCATGTGCTCAGGCTTGGGTGTCCATTGTTTCACCACCGTCTCCCTTTGCTACAGCTCGGGAAATTGACTCACTTGCGCAAAGGACCTGCAACTACAAGGCTAACCGTTTGGGGCCATGACTCAACATGGACCCACAAATGGAAAACAAACAGGTTCCCCAAGTTCTCTTGTGAACTGGGACTAAAATGGCCATGTGTCAAAACCCAAATCGTACCCCCAGTGAACATCCCAATCCCCACTAAAATCGACTAAAATGGGTGGTGCACCAATCCCAAAATGGGATCCCATTGGTTTTGAACCATGGCTAAATCTCTGGGCACCGGGGCCCGAAAATCGCAACTGCCCAGTTGGCAAAGCTTGGCAAGCGCGCCTGACTGCACGGTGAGCGCGCTAGACCTGGGCTCGAGGGGCATTGGCCCAGCTCCAAACTTCATGATGCCGAAAAACGAAGCTTGCTGCAGGCCCCGAACCCAAAATAAACAGAACCCCCCAAAAAAAAACAACTTGCCAGGAAGAGTGAAGCAAAGAAACGCTGGGCCAAAAGAACAATTCCGACGTGGGGCTCGAATCTTCTTTTCTGACACCTGGGGATCTGGGAGCCACCAAACCTGCCCAACAATCAAAACAAAACCAATTCTGAACCACCAAATGCCAACCAAAAAGACCCTTCCTCCGCCCAAAGACCCAGCCTGATTTGGCCACATTTCTGCTCACTTGTTCACCTGAAATCGGATGAGTGCACCAGCCACATCCAAGCTTTCTGGCTTCAACTCGTCCACTTCATTATATGGGTGTGTCTTTTTTGAGCGGAATGGCAAAACATGGTGGTACCAAAAAAAACATACCCTTCATTATATGGGTGTGGTACTACAAAAAATGGTGGAATTGTAAAAATGGTGGTACCACAAAAAAATACAAACCTCAAGAGTTGACGAGCTACCCATATGGAGGTCTCTCTCCCCGAAAATAATTTTAAGTTCCTTTTCTTGCCGGTTCGCGCTCACCACAGGGACACGCACGCTCCTGGCAGGAACCAACCACCGGTGCCAAAAAACAACAGCTGGAGAAAAAAATACGAAAAAAATAACTCCCCCAAATCCTTCAAAACCGCAACAACAACAAACAAGGACTAAAGGTACCAACTCCAACAAAAGACAGACCCATACCGCCACCCATACCGCCACCCATACCGCCACACCTACCCACCTGTTCCCCTCACTTGGCCCTCCACTCGCAGTCTTCCAAGTTGAACATGGTCTTGTTGGTGGCCTCGGCGAGCACTGGAACCAACAGGGGGGGGGGGAGGAAATGGGGGGGAGGGGGTCAATGGAAAAGGCCCCCACTTAACAGGGACCCCCGAAAGAAGAAGGTTTCTTCAAAAAGGCACATTCCAAACGCGAAACTCTTGAAAAGGGGCAACGCTTGGATCTGGCGTGCCCAGAGAGCGCAGAACTTGAGCAAAGTGCTCCAGTCGTGGCGACAGGTGGGTAGCTAATTTGCCGCCCGCCCTTACCGATTCAACAACTCACTTCCTGAGTGGATTAGCAGGCCAGGGCCTTTGGATGCAACCTCCCCTGCAAATAAACCACTGAAAAACAAAGAGAGAAAAAATCAGAACCAAACAAACAACCTCCAACCGCCCCCCCTCCCCCACAAACCCCCCCTTTCCCTTCGCCCCGAGCGGCGTTGCAGTCCGCCCCCGCCGACACGATGTCCGCATACAAAGAGGTGAGCTGGGCGATGGAGCTGGCCGTGTTCGCCGCGCAGGCTGCCTGCGGGTTGATTGGGCTTACGATGAGTGGGACACTGGGGGGTTGGTTGCTTTTTCGCGATATCACAAAATTGACACCCCTGGATCAAAATAGGTTGCTTTATAGCCATGGTAACCAGCCTACAAAGTAAATCGACAACCCCGGGGCTTGCTTTAACCGAGCTCGCCGGTGACAAATGGTGTTGTTGTTTCGTCGTTTTTTGGAGGGTACCCTTTCCGTCATTGTGGAAGATGTTCGGTATTTCCTGCACCAACTTGGGGCCTGCATCCTTGACTTTATGCATGAGGGGTTCCCTTGATGCGGAAAATTGCCCTTGACCCAATTTTTTTTTCGAACTCGTGCTGGGGGTTGAGAAGTTTTTTCGGGTGGTCTTTTCGGGGGGCAGTTGGAAGCCTTTTCACTTGTCGTTTCAACAGGGCCCCTATCCACTTCCACTGGCTCCTGTGAGTCATCTGCAACTTTTGCCGACGGCACCGCCTCTGAGTTGCCCAGTCCCCGTAGCAAAGACTCGGAAGCTGCTCTGGGAGGCGAAAAAGGATGTTGAGTGGAGGACCCCGGCCCAAGCTGAAAGGGCAACCAAACATGGCATCCACACGCCCAAAGGCAAATACATCTTGAGAAGCGCGCGTGTCAAGTGCAACTTCCCGGCTTCTCAAGCCGAGTTTGATTGTTTTTACCAAGGGCAAACCAAGGGAAACCCAAATGAATTGCTTCCTTTTTGTGTCCCAAACCAAGCCCGCATGGCCCTCAGAAAAAGAAGCAGCTTGCCTCGGTAACCATCTGCGAAGTGTTCCTCGGGCATTTCTCGCTTCTGAGACGTGCGTGAGGAAGCAAATACCGCTCCCACCCCGCTTCACCAAGAAGGTGAGAACGAGCAAGCAGAACCAGGAGTGACTTGACAAGGACTCTCTGCTGAGACTCACCAAAAATAAGAGGAAGAATTGATTTGTGGTGGGCTAGTGCCCTGCTACCATGAATTTCCTAATCTCACTCGGTGCCAATAATACAAATAATATGTTCAATGTTGCGATTATGCATTTCCATTGATGATATTCCACATCTACGAAGGCCCAAGTGACGTCGGCGGGGGGGAAAAAGCAGCTTCGCTGGGGGCAAATTCCGCCGAAGGGTCAGGCGGGCTTTGGGGGGGAGGGGAGGGAGGGTTTCTCCCGTTCGACATTTTGTTGTTGTGCAAGTGGGAGCTGTTCCAATGACGAAGCTATTTGGGGCTTCGTTGGTTTCTTCAGCTCGTTGGATTCCTTTAAAGTGGCCTTCTCAAAGTTTCACAGGTTGCACTTGGAGCTTCTGCAGCAAACGCAACGCACGCCCAAACAAGTGGGCAGTTTCCGGACATGGACAGGAAATTCTGGGTCCCCTGGTTTGGTGAAAGTTAGAGGTCGTCGGGTCCCCCCCCCCCAAAAAAAAAAAAAAACACCCAACACGTAAGTATTTCTCCATTATAACAAATAAACAAGTCAGCAAATAAATAAACAAACAAACGAATGAATGAATAAGTGAAAGGTCTTATACACTCTGTCCAACAATTGTGGAAGCTGAGCAAAGGCGTTTGGAAGACTGCAGTCAGTTGCGGGTTGACCGCCCCACCAAAGCTGTAAAATGACCACCCACCAAACAGAAATGACACTTACTTAGTGGCACTTCCAAAAGGGAATGTGTTAAGAGAAGAAATGAACAAGATGGGCCTGTCTCGGAATTCCACACCTTGGCTTTCCTCTAGAACCACGAGCCCTCAAACCACACAGGGCTCGGAAATGTGTGTACAAAAGCGCAGCTTGGATTTGTCAAGCATAGGGATCGGCTGGGCCATCTCCGACTTGCGGCTTGTCCGCCCGCACTTTTTGCGCCCGACCGGTCTTCTCCAGTTGACCGGCCGATCTTGGCCCTTCCCCATTCGCCTCCCAAAAACCCGAAACTCTGCACACGGCAAATGGTTGTAAATCCCCTAGGACCTGCATTGTGGATTGCCGGGTGAGTGGGTTACCAGGGACGCGAACCATGAAGTGAGATTATTGCCGGATACAAATTGTCCAAACTCCCCACAAAGAGGTCCGTGACAAACCCAACAATTAGCAGCTAAAATTATATTGCTTGTTTTTGGTGTCGTTCATTTTGTAAGAACAGGTAAAGCTGACACCACCGAGGAGCGTACCCTCCGAAAACCGCAAAACTCCACACACGACACTTTTTGGGTGGTACCCTTCTCAAGTTTTTTGGGCTCCCCTGTTCTCTCCCATGCCGAAGACTGCGCCCCACCCGGCCGCCCACGTCCCGGCCGCCCACGACTGACACCGCTGGGGGCCGAGGGGCGTGTACTCGTCCTTCACCAGCGCGTTGATGCGTGGCAGCTGCTCCGTGGCGCCGGACCAGGAGGTCTTCAGCACCCCCTGCGCGCTTCAGTCGCTCGGGGTTGGCAGGGGTCGGGGGTTGGGTGCTGTGCTAGGTCCTCCAGTAGAGAGGTTAGAAGAAGGGTATCGTCTTTCTTTCTGCTGTCTATTTTAGAAGGGGAACCCTGTCCCAAAAAAGGGGAGAAGAGGCTGGGGGGCCTAGTGTAGATCCCCCATCAAGTTAAACTGTTTGCTAGTTAAAAGGACAAATGCAGGGAATCGTCTAAAGATCCACCCCAATAGCAGTAGAGGGGGGGAGGTTTCGGGGCGTTTCGGGGGGGTTCGGGTTTGGGCCTGTGGCCGAGCGGTTTGTTGAACCCTTCCATGCTTTCCATGCTTTCCATGCTTGGGGCTTTGATTTCTTCAAAATCTTAAAGATCTCTTGATTCTCCTACAGCGAAACCTTTAAGGGCGTCTCTTCGTTGCGGGGGATTCCTTATCCTCGTCCGTACTCCGTGGAACGCCTCTCCCACCATCTGACAAAAGGATTACCCTCCCATCCACACACGTGGAACCTGACAGAGGGGTCCTGGAAGACGATTTTCCTAACGGACCCTCTGGTGGTTTCCATGTTAGTGGCCCTCAGGATGACCGGATTGAGTTCGAAGCACCCAGTTTAAGGAGGGGAATCAAATCACCCCCCCCCAAGCAGCGCAGTGAGTGCAATGCTCCGCCTGATTAACAAGCAAATCAAGGGACAACTGCATGCTCTTGAAGCCCGTTGCGCTATTCAAAGCGCCATGCAATCGAGTGAGGGGGGAACATCTGTTTGATTAGATTCCTAGATAGCCAAGTTGCGATCGTTTTTTTTTCAGTCACTGTGGCTGGTTTTTGGGGGGCAAAGTGCGTGGAAACAAAACAGCAACTGGTGATTCCAGGTTTCTTTAAATGTCTTTATCTGTTTGCCTTGGAGTCAAGTGAGAACAAACAACTTTGCGCCAGCCGGGCGGAGTCAGGACGGCACCAGCAGCTTCCCATTCTTTGGAACCACTCCGTGTGTACAAGTTGGGGAGCCCCTTTCTCTGATGCCGCTGGCACCTGAAGCCCAAACAATACCAGGCAGTAGCCGGTCCGGGTGCAAGAAACATGGCGGACAGAAGCCAACCTACAAAATTCCAGCCTGGCAAACCTTAACCTCCAACTTGTTGGGGCTTATAACCCATCGATGTTGCTCGCCATTGCTGGTCCCCCTTCTGCCCCCTGTGGATGGACGGAATCCATTTCGCACCGCTCTTCCTGGCTTAATTCACCCATGCACTGGCGAAGCAGATTGATTCCAAAGGCTGATAAACCTAGGAAATCCATTACAAAAACCGGAAACATATCGCCTATATATACCCCCTACTCCAAATACCCTCTTATTCTAGGGTATGATGTCATCCCTCTACTAAAACAGAAGGTATTTACCATGGAAACCCGATCGGTTTTTCAAAAAATACCCTAGAACATTGTGGGAAATTGGAGTAGGGGGTAAGATAAGGAAGTACCAGTCCCAGGAAATGAAACCGTGGTTGAAACCAGAACGATTCTTGGCATCTACGGGGAATCATTATTCCATGGATTCTGAAGGGTGGTGGATTTCTGGACTTTGCAGCCATCCACAACTTTGTTCCAGTGGAAATACACAAATCCGAGTTCAAACCGAAATCCAAAAGAATCTGCTTCGGGTGCCATTTTTTGTCCCTCGGTTCATCCCCCTTCGTCCAATTCACGACGGCTTGTAGCAAAATCAATTCCCTTAAAATAACGGAAAACTTAAACAATATTAATTTCACCAAATGGAAGACAGTAGTTCCTCCATGTTCCAAAGAGCAACACACACAAACAAACAAAAAAACGAATTCAGCCGCCGATAAAAAAATCTTCGGGTTCCACCGCTCGAGTCCGAGCGAATAACCCATGGATCGAGTGCAGTTCGCCTGCAGCCACTCCCGGGCCAGCTGCGCCACTTCGTTCACGTCCGTGGCGAAGGAGGAGTTCTCCTGGTGCAGCTCCCGCATGTTCGCCTGGCCGAAGGGCCAAACACCGCGGACTCCTGGAAAAAGGGGGCAAATATGTCCAGTAGTGAAATCGATTTCAACTCTAAAACCAAAGGGGGAAAATAACAAATATTCATTTCAGCAAATGACAAAAGACTTCTTTCGATTTTCTCCCTGGCTGTCCTCAGATCTGCTAAAAGGTGTGTTTAAACTGTCTAGTGGTTGAGTGAGTTTATTTTACTTTTGTTTGGTCCCTGTTGTTCTTCTTTGTTTCATAAAGTTGTTTTCTTTTTGGGCTGAGTGAAAACTACCACTAAAGGGAACCACCAAGGATTGTTTCGAGGGGACAAGGAATGCTTGCACGTGCTCAGTCTGTAGGTAGGGATTTACAACGAGTCACGGTGTTGGGAATGAACGGGTTTGGGGGATTCCCGAAGAAAGGAAACCATGGGATGGATGGCTTTTCTTGGGGTCATTCCACCTCATTCCCGGCTAGGAACCAGCCAGATAAAGTTGGGACGCCTAGAAAAAGCCTGCAATGCTGTTAGAAAGATCCATATAAACTCTGGGTGGCTCTTCCCCACCCAGCAAGAGGTCTAACCGTTTGTCAGTTTCAGGGACCAGTTGAAAAGCCATTTGTTTCCAAAAGGAAAAACTGTGACACTCTGGAAATTTAGGTGAGACGATTTCATGTGAGAGAGCTCTAGGGGTTGATTCCCCATTATTTTTAACCATAGTTCTTTCCAAAAACCAGCCGTTTTCCCTGGGTTTCCGGAGGTTTTCTTGAAAGAAGGATCCCTGGAAAAAAAGGGGAAGGTACCCCTAGAAGAGTGGAAAGGCCATGAAACAGGGGTACAGCTTCACGCTGATCCGGTGGATCGCTTGGCTTGACATTCTAGGCAGGATGGCCGCGGATTGAACAACTTCCCAACAACCAACATGTGTCTTTTTCGCTTTTCCCGCCAAGCTAAACGAAGCCCAAAAAGACAAACACATCGCCACTTTCGGTGAGATCAAGAAGAACATGCGCATTTTCTGAGTGTCCATTCCTGCCCCTTTTCGGTCCGGAGTGATCAGGACACATTTGGGCATACCTGAGTTTCCAAACTGGGGCCAAGATCCCTTTCTTTGGGCAATCCTCGGTGCAATCCAAAAGGTGAGCCGACAAAACCCCCGGAAGGTCGAAACGCTATGAAACGCTAAAAGAGTTCGACAAAAACATGTCCGAAAGTGGCTCCCAGATTTTTTGCGCCCAGGCATTTCGGCAAGGCATGCATATATATATATATATATACGTGCCAATCGTGTGACTGGCTTTTGTGTGAAGGATCACCCAACTTTGCGGGCGGTACTCAACCAAGCATTTCAGCGGTGCCTGTCGGTTTCCGTTTTAGGTGCCACACTTACATGGGGGGGAAGCAAATCAGCTGGGCGCCCTTTCTGAACATCTTGTGCATACATCATTCTGCCCACGGGCTCCAAAAATTCGCGCCGAGGGGCGATGTTGGTCATGACCTCTCCGGCGTGGCCGATGGCAAAGCCCTGCATCGTCAGCAGGGCGTTTTGCTCCTTCTCCGCGGCGCTGCCGAAGTTCTTGATGCCTAGACAGGTTGGTCGGTCGGTCGGTTGGTCTTGAGGTTTTAGGGTCTTGGGTTTTCGCTTTAGGGTCGGGGGTTCGGGGGCTTTGGCTGGGTTGGAAAGGCTCTCATTTTGGGGCCAATCACGGGTGTCTCTTACAATTTCCCTTCGGCTTCCCTTGAAACCCACCCCAAGGGCTGTTTGGCCTCCTACAAGGCAAACAAAAAGGGTACCGCGCCTCAAACAAATTGACACGCCCATTGAGCGATTTGCAGAACATCTCTACACCGGCTGGCGCATGGAAACCCCTCCCTTTGCCTGTTTGCTCATTGTATGCAAGTAAAAATGTGGTCCCACTTTAAGATTTGTTGTGGCCAACCGCACCACCACAAAAAAAAAAGGAGACAGGCAGGCGGAATAGAGGACGAAGATGGAATGACCAAGCCTCCATTCTGTTTGCAAGGGAGCTCCGAAACCTGGGTTGCTCCTTCCTGCTCGTTTGCCTGTCCCGAAAAAAGACTCCAGCCAGGTTCATGGTTTCCCGAGCTGGGCCGCGCACCGGACATTTTGGGTTTCATCTCACTCCGAAAAAACCGGGGCCGGCGCTGGGGTCCTTCAGCACGGCGCTGGTCTTGTTCACCAGCAGCATGAACTTGGGCGTGATGCGCTCGATGACCCCCACCGCCTGCCGCGAAGCCGCAGGGCTGCCCGGCAAATGCTTTGGTTTTTCAGGTGGAGGTGGCTCCGGTGGGGTGCGAAACTCAGTACTGCACAGTTTGGACCCGGAAAAAAAGGCGATCCATTTGCCTATTTTATTGCAAGCTTGCCTGGGGTTGGAACGAGCTCAGCATTATACAGGCCGTTTACGTGGGGATCAAGTTCTTGCTTCAGGTTGTGGAATTGCAAGTGTTGAAAGTTTGGGTTTTAGGGGCATCAGCATAAGTGTCCTTTTGGGTTTGCTTGGTTGAAACATGGCCGCCATCTATTTTCCAAAACACGTATGTCGCACCAGCAAGGGACACCACCAGTTGCTTTTCCTCACTTACCCAAAGCCAACCTTTTGACCGTCCGAAAAGCAGCGCAGGGGGGGTGTCCTTTTTAGAGGGCGATTTAGGGCAATTCATGAAAGCCAGGATCCTCCCATTCACAGTTTCACCATTGTAGACATTTGGCAGCCCACTCCCATTTCAACAATACATGAGAACATGACTTGTGGAAATGAAGTTGCCACTTGCCAGCTAACTTATGAACTCTCGCGTCCTACCGTGGGCAAGGTTACGACGGTGGGCAGAAGGCGTTCATTGAGCTCATGCACTTATAAGCAGTGATCGAAACGGCGATCGGCTGCGTGGCGGTCAAGAGCACATCCTGGATTTGGACGCGATGGTTGAGGGAGGGAGGCCAAAAAGAGAGATTGCTCAAAGAACAGGTGCTGAAACAATGATACCCTCGAAAGGAAAGCTGCAACAGGTTACTTGGTTACTCTTGACCGCCCATGCAACAACTTTATACAAAAACAAATGGTCAGGGTATTTTGCTTTTTTCCCAAAGGTCAAGAGGTTTATCAGGCCGCGGCAAAGAGAAACCAACAGCTCAACCACAAGTTCCAAACGGATCGCTCCTCTGAGGTGGCACCCACCAGCTTGGAGAAGTCGTCCTGGCGTGCGGCGACAGAATTCAAGAAGCCCTCGGTTGCTTTCTGCTCCCCTGCCAAAAGTTTAACTTTTAGTGGTCCATTAGTTGGCAAAAAGTTAAAGTGGTAACATCCAAGCACCATGCACCAAAGAGCCTTTCTTCAACCCACGAGGAGACTTCTGGTGCAAACGCCAGTCGTGCAAGGCGCGCGTAGAAGGCCTGGCGAAAGATGCCGAATCTCATCTGCATCCCCTTTTGGCCCCCTTTTCAACAAGAGAAGAACGAGGGGCGATGCCTACAGTACATGGACGAGCTCCATTTCGCACCACTTTGAAGCCATGGTTGAAACCATAACGTAGGTTTGTGGTAGTCACAGGGGGGTCGAATCAAGAGCCAGGGTTTCTGAGCGGTGTGAGATTTCTGGATTTCGCAACCATCCACCGAATTGCCCGTCGAATTCTGTCCAGTTGATTGGTTTTCTTGTGGTTTTCCTTTCTAACGATCCCAACGCATCCACTCCTCACCATGCCTCACTTCCTGAGTGAATTGGGGAAAAAGGTCCTCAAACTTTCTATTTACCACTGCAAAAGGCAACCAAGCCCGAAAAGTGACTCAAAGTTCCAGCGCCTCTTGTGCGTGTGGGTTTCTCTGCCCCAGGGCTTGACCACAGCAACCAAAAAAGTACCAAAAGTCCAAAACAGAACCTTTACTCCTTTGGAGTGAGCGCACATCGCCCGTCTATTGCGCACATCGCCCAGGCGCCCGTTACTTCGGAACGAACTCCCTCCGTCTCCCTCAGGCACATCGCCCGCCCCAGTCCTTGAAGGAGGTCCGCAAAGCCTTGGCCACCAGCACCACCAGGCGGTTGTTCAGCGCCTCGATCGCTTCCGCTTCCCGCGCTCGCTGCTTTCGAGACCCGCGCTTCGGCGCAGAATGGGTGCGGAACCAACCGGCCGGGAAAATGGATCCAAAGCTCCGTGGCAAAAAACTACAACACGTGAGCCATGTTTTTTTTAGTGTTGTTTTGTTTTTTCTTTTTGGGCCCTACATGGCAGATTAATCAAACCGCCCCCCCAACTGCTTGACTTTCTGAGCTGGCCTCTGCGTTATCAGCTACCCTCCCAGCGAGTGTTTCATGGAACCTGACCTTCGGGACAGAAAGGTCCCTTGAAAAGGAAGATGGCAGCACTTACCAAACGTCAGGCTTTGTGTGAAAAGGGAGGGTAATCTCACTGGCTGAGTGGATGGTCCAAAAAAAGTCCAAACTTTTTGTTTACCATTAGAATCTGAACTGGAAGGCTAGCTTGGAGATGCACCTATAGGTGTTGCCGACATTCCCGCACGAATCTCCCTTCGGCCACTAAAATGGTCTTCCCCAGAAGTTTAAAGTTCATGAACTCAGGAAGTGAGTAATGACCTACAAGACAGGTCAGCTGCACTGCACGATTGGCTGGGACCCGCGGAAGGGGAGCGAAAGAACCAAGAAGACACCGCCTGGTTTGGCGGACCCAAATCCACCCACAAACCCCGGAAGGCGGATTACCGGCAGACGACAGAAGGTGACAGGGGGTCTCTGCATGTCCAACCTAAAACATCTCCCAACCCATTGGAAACTCACTTTAGGGGGGGGTGGGGGAAGAAATGACCAAGCGCATGATCCGATTGGAGTCGTTAGGCATTTCGCAGAGTTCCTTGACGGCTTCTTCCGGCCGTTTTTGAAGCGCATGTTGTTGTTTTTCTTTATTCTTTCTGAAAACACGTTCTTTCTCTCATGACCCTTTTACCAAACATCACTAACCACCTCCATCTGGGGATGGACCCCGGGTCCCGAGTTTTGACCAAAATCCCTCCCGCCCGCCTCGATCTCGTCGGTCATCTTCACCATGGGCTGCTGGACCTCCGCCTCGAAGTCGAAGTCGCACCTCCCGCGACTTCCGATCGACGTCCGATCGGAGGCTTTCGGCTCCCCGGAGGTGCGGGGATGGAAAGAAGAAACCCGCTGGCTTGGACGTCTTCTTTGATTGGTGGTGGGTGGTTTCTGGTGTCTATATGGTGAACCACTATAGGCGGGTTGGCGGTTGGTTTCCCCATTTGCCCTTCAGAGGGTTCGAATCCCCAAAGCACCAACTAAGGGTGCTCAGAAGAAAGGGCCTGGACATAAAAAAAAAATAAAAAAAAAATAAATGCAAAAACGGTGGCCGCACTTCGCTGGGTCGGGCCTCTCGACTGGAGAAAGGACCCTGCGGTCCCTGAAGCAGAAGACCCCATTTGGCTTCCGATGGGCCGTGACCCATACATCCCCAAGCCAGAAATGCGCCAGAGGGTCATCGGGCTTGGGCTCGCACGTAGGGAAACAGATGTACAAGGACAGAGTGACAGAGTGACCGATGTGTGTCCCTCAACACCCCAAGAGGGAAAACAACCAATAAGCTGACACAACCTACTAAGTGATCTGGTGAAGAAAGGAAAAGCCTTGACCTCTCAAAGGGGAAGCCACCAAACAAAAGACCAGAATCGGCCCCACTGAGTTTTTGACACTTGCCACCAGGTGTTTCTCCGTGTTATGTTCTTGTGGGGCCACCTCCAGCCAGGACATGGGGAAAATGGATGTCTCGAAACGGGTTGTTGCGTGTGCCGACCCAATTTTTCCCAGAAGCCAGTGGGTTACAGCTGCACCATGGTGAGCCAGGCAGTCCGCGCCAACAAACATGTGGAGCAAGAACTACGGTACTTGCTTTACAAGGACTTGGATCCTCTAAATCGGTTGAAGGTGCTCTTTCTTTGTCCACTTGGGACACTTGTTCCCCGCCTCTTCCGGGACAGCTGCAGCGCGTTCAGAGCACAGGTCTGCGAATCGCGGCAGTCGTCGTCCACCGCCAGGCCAACTTCCTCCGTGCCAGAAGGAGAATCCCTGGCCCAAAAAAGGAGGGCCCCCTGGCTATTGGTTGCAACCAAGGGAAACAACGGGGGTTGTGTAAACTAGGTCCTCCAGTAGAGAGGTTAGGATAAGGGTACCAACCACTTTTTTCTGTAGTCTATTTTGGTAGGGGAACCCTGCCCCCCAAAGAGGGAAAAAGGGCACTACTGGGTAAGAGGGCCTTCCCGGAATAAATGTGGACCCGCCCTATACATTGAGTAGGGGTGGAAAGTGTGACAAAGTGGATCCCCATCAGATTGTAAGCAAGTAAACCAACCGCGTCCAACCACAAAACCCCTCCTGACAGCCCGCAGCAAATCGCAGGGATTCAAATGATGAGCTTCCCCTATGGGGTCTGTGGCACATATATATATATATATATACATACATATATTATATTACATTGTAGCCATTTGTAGCTGGCAAAATGACGGGCTAAACAGTGACACGTCTTTTCATGCCACAAAACATCCCAAAACCCATTATCAAAATTACAATCCCTATCATTCTGGCCACCCGGCCCGAATTTGTTTGTTTGCTTCCGAGCCTCGCTCCACTCGTAACACTGCGTGGGCATTGAGTTGATGTGTCCGGAATCCCCGCATTGGTTTGACCTTTGGTTTCTCTTGGTTCCTCTTGGTTTCTTTGATTTCAAACTTCAAACTTCAAATTCCTTGGTTTCCTCTTCAAGTTTGAGCTTTGTCCTGGTCAGCGATGAAGAAGCAAAATGTCAGACCTTGACGACTTTGCGGAAGTCCGTGGGATTGATCCATGTCCCTCCGTGTGCAAACCATACAACCACTCCAATACCTGAAAAAACGATTTGGATCCCCAAGCACAGGACCTACATCATGGGCATTCCCTCATCTTACCTCGAGTTGGCGGAATCGCAAACGCGATAAAAAACAAAACATCTGCAAAGATTCGAGCAGCCAGTCCGCCGACACAAGCTCATTGAAGTGGCTATCCCCCCCACTAAACCCATATATAATAGTCATTCTTAAGTGCTTCTCTTTGGCTTATCCAGGCATAGCTCACCATACCCCCCTCCTGCCCAAACGCCCCACCCCCCCAAACCAGCACCCACCCACCCCAGTTTTTGGTCCTCCACCGAGGCCGCCAACAGCTGGCGCAGCAGCGCCACCCCGCAGAGCTTCGCCAGGAAGGCCATTGGTATGAAAGCACTTGGAGCGAAGGAGTCACAACCAGCTTGAGCCGCCGAGGTTTCGTTTCCGGTTTTTTGGGCTTTGAAGGAGTCGAGTCACCGGCTGCCGGGCGAGTTTCCTTTGGGCTTTGTGGGTTTGGGTTGGGACTTCGCAGTTAGGATGCGCGCGCCCAGCGTTTGTGGGGTTGGGGCTTTGTGGGTTTGTGGGGCTTCGCAGTTTGAAGGATGCATGGCACCATTTTAAAAAGGGAAGCCGAAGAAGGAAGAGAAAAAAAAAACGCCCTACAGGAAGGCGCAGACGGAGACGGAAGGGCGTGTTTCAAAGGGGGGGAGAAGTAGTGTTCCTTGCGAGGTCCGTTTCAAAACAAGCCGAAAACGGTGAGAGGTTCCACCGTACTAGTTCGTGGAAGGGATTTATTATGTAGGGTGTGGCCCAGTCAGAGCTAGGGTTTGGCCGGGTTTTGCCCAACAATGCTGTGGATGAACAACACCCGCTTCGCACCAGTTGGGATGGATGAAACCCTGAAAATAGTGGGATAAACCCATCCAATGCAGATCTTGTTTAGGGGTCCCCTTTTGGTTGGGTGTTCAAGAGAAACCAAAAGGATAACCACCATTTTGAGGGGTCCCCTCAAAAAGGACAAGCAAACCCAACTAGGCTTTGGCCCCAGCCATGTGGAAGTTTCTCAAAGAAGTGGTCCCCTAAGATGGTTGCAGTTTCCTTTTGCTTTCCCTTCAACCACTCACCAAAACGGGGGGTTCGCCATTTTAACTAGGTCCTCCAGCAGAGAGGTTAGAATAACGGTACCCTTTTTTCTGTAGTCTATTTTAGTAAGGGAACCCTCCCCAAGAAAAGTTGGGAGAGAAGGGCACTGGGGGACCTAGTAACCA